TATCAAGTGAGGTCACTATTAATGGAGGAATTTTATCTTTATGTCTTAATTGTTAAACACTCTGATAAAATGTTAAGTTTGAACTGAACAAGCTTTTGCTGTTCTGACAGATGTTTTAAAAAGAAAAAAACTTTGTCTCACATCATTATATGATTAAAAATCAAATTTTACTTTGACGTTGCCTGTATTTCGCCACTTATCCACAGGCATTTATAAAGATACACTATCATGCAACAAAATGAGAATGAACACACTACATATTTGGGCACATTAATTTCAGACCAACTGCAGCCTGATGAGAAACCCTTGGAGAATTTGAATCCCAAAGACAGATGTGCCATCCATCGTTTTTATTTCTCTTTTCCCAGCCAGCTGCACCAGTCACCATCAGTCCAGTGGTGACAGCACCACAGCAGCCCACCCCCCCACCACAGCCCTCATCTGGCGGCTCATTGGACAGCATGCTGGGGCTGCTTCAGTCTGACCTGAGCCGACAAGGAGTTCAAACATCCTCCAAGGGAAACTGTTCAGCTTGTCAAAAGCCAGTAGTAGGACAGGTGAGGTATCAGAATAAGTCCATATAGAAATGCACAAAAGTGTATATTAAGATTGTGACTATTCAGTTTTTCTAATATTTGATAGTACCGGTGGCACATGTTCCAAAAATTAGGAAAACTGGTAAAAGCTTTGATTCCAGTTACAGTTACTGTAATAATAATTTTTGCCAGCAATATCAGTTACTTAATACTTTCATGAGAGTAAGTATAGCATCATTCATAAAGACGACCTTTGGAGGATGCTGTTCATTTATTAACTTTTGTTTCCTCATGCAGGTGGTAACGGCTCTTGGAAAGGTGTGGCACCCAGAGCACTTTGTGTGCACTGAGTGCGAGACAGAGTTAGGCAGTCGCAACTTCTTTGAGAAGGATGGACGGCCGTACTGCGAGTCGGACTACTTCACACTCTTTTCCCCTCACTGTGCGCAATGCAACAAGCCCATTTTAAATGTGAGAGACTTGCCTGTTTCATATAACTCTCAGCTCAAATGAATACCCCAAACCACCTGAAGCCATTTAACTTTCCATTTCTCTTGCTGTTTAGAAAATGGTCACCGCTCTGGATAAGAACTGGCACCCAGAGTGTTTCTGCTGTGTGAAGTGCAGCCGGGCCTTTGGAGAGGAAGGTAATGGGCGGCACACACTGCATCCTGTCTGGGTTTAACACACAACTGTTAACAGTGAACTTCAGCAGGGTCATACGTACGTGCAGCCCTAAAAATACACTACACAACCTATTGAACACACATACCATAACCTTGCTTTAAGCAGCTGCTAACCCCCTTGAAGAGACCACAAATACTGATGCCTTTAATAATTCAGTAAAACCGTAAACAATTATAAACTGAGTGAAGTTTGATGTTTCACAGACCAGAGTCACATGGAAAAGTTTTTTTGCACCGCATTATCCAGTTCATTTAATATTTATCAAAGAAACTCTTGAACTGTGTAAAGCTGTGACCGTATCGTCTGCAGGTTTCCATGACCGTGAGGGCCAGCAGTACTGCCAGCAGTGCTTCTTGACTCTGTTTGCTTCCCGCTGTCAAGGCTGCAGCCAGCCCATTCTGGAAAACTACATCTCAGCTCTCAACTCTCTCTGGCACCCGCAGTGCTTCGTATGTAGGGTGAGTTTGTCTCTGTGGGTTTGAAGGCCGTACCAATGATGGTAAAATGACCAAGAGTTTGATCCCTGGTGTGTTGTGGTCGCATTTCTTACAGGCTTATTCTGAGAAAGAGTCAGGAAAGAGTCTTAAAACTTGTGGACCTGTGGAGTTTTCTTTCAAACAAACAAAAGTTATGTTCACATAACTTAACATTCGTGTGTATCCTTGAAGTCTTGCAAACATGTTGGATGGATTTCCCTCCAAACATTAGCAAAGCTAAATTTGTTTAACATTTTGAAACCTGTATTCTTTACATCTATGTTTACTTGTTAACAATATTCTTCGCTGCCTTTGTTGACACATTGCTGTGTTTTTTTAGCATGTTTCCACCACCTGCAGATCAGTGGAATGGTGTTAAACCACTGGCAGGAATGTGTATCACGTCACCTGCGAGACAAACAAAACAGGACCCACTAATAAAACAACTACTCTATAACGGTCAAAAACTCCACAGGGTACCTTTAGATTTATCTTGGGGTCATGATCATATGTAAGTTCATGTAATGTGCAGATGTTCAGGGCCATTATGGAAATTTTAGAGGTTTATAATGGCATGAAGAAAAGTTAACATTGTACGATGACACACACACACACACACACACACACACACACACACACACACACACACACACACACACACACACACACATATTGCATATGTTGGGCTTATTTAAAGGCTGATTAAAAAATTAAGTAAATTAATGAAAGTACAATAAAAGTTTAAAATGTAGTATACTCCACCACAATAACATCTGGGCACCAGACCACCATCAATGTAGGGACATAAAATTCACAAAAACATTTGAACAGTTATGTAAATATATGAGTAAAATGTGAAATTTTGTATTTCTTTTAAATTAAACAGAGTTTAGATGGTTCCTTTTTTGTAAGTGGGTGGGGTTTTGCTCTGACAATTTGGATTTATGACCTCAGTATTTCTAATAGCCTCGCTGTGGCACTAGAAATTGGTGATGGGATCTTTCTGAGACCAACGAACAGATGCTTGTTTCATATGATCTCTTCCTTGACCAAGACACTTAACCCACAATTCTGACAGTGACCAGATCCGACAGTGTTCGTGATGTGTAACTGTGTGTGTGTGTGTGTGTGTGTGTGTGTGTGTGTGTGTGTGTGTGTGTGTGTTTGTGTGCAGGGCGTTCCTGAAAAAAAGCTCTACTCACAAATCTAAAAATAAATTTAAAGTTGGGATTATGTCATGAGAAAGTTGTCGTTTCACAAAACAACTTTCTAATTACAGTTCCATGAGTCAGGGCTCTCTGCTGACTCACTGCATCTTTCCTTTACTCTCTTCTTCAGGAGTGCTACAGCCCCTTCGTCAACGGCAGCTTCTTCGAACACGAGGGTAACCCGCTGTGTGAGGCCCACTACCACCAGTCCCGTGGCAGCATGTGTCAGGCCTGCCAGCAGCCAATCCTGGGCCGCTGCGTCACCGCCATGGGGGCCAAATTCCACCCCCACCACCTGGTGTGTCACTTCTGCCTGAAGCCCCTGAGCAAAGGCTGCTTCAAGGAGCAAGAGAACAAGCCCTACTGCCACCCCTGCTTCATCAAACTCTTTGGTTGAGGACACAGCAGGACTTTGCCCCCAAGTGAAGAAGCTATCTGAGTTCTCAATTTGTTTTTTTACTGCGGGAATGAGGGTTGAGCTGGTCTCTTACTTGGTTTTAAGAATATTAGAGTTGGTAGAGGGAGGGGATAACAAGAGAATCATCCAGCCCAATTCATTTCTGTTTATTTCACAAAAAAAAGACTGCATTTTGACTGGCAGTGTGAAATGTAACTCTAGCATTGGTTAGAGGGATTTAAAATGATGCCAAATGATTTTGTTATGTATGTAAATCTATTACATGCTGTATTGATTCAAATTGAATATTGAAAATTTAATTCTTTTGCCAAAGGTAGAAAAGAAGCAGTACATTGAGAGCAAATTTTTTGTTTCAGTGAAGGACTGTTGTGCAAGGAAATCCCCTTTAATATATTTGCTTTATATTGCAAAACATATAAGTGACACTGCCTCTGCATTTATATATTGTATTCTGACTGCTATATATGTTTTTGTATAACAAACTAAACTGTCATGTGTTTAATGTCAGATATTTTGCATTATTCTTTCACTATCGCTCTATGCAATTTGCCAAAGACAATTCCAAAGAAAATAAAGGAGAACACGACTTGTCTTGCTGTTTCATTGGTGAATTAATCAAAGGATCAACTGGGAAATGTGAGAAAATAGGAAAAAACAGTGAAATTCCTTTTGAAGCATATAAACACTGACATTGTACAGACATAGGTCAGCCCATATAAACAAGTAACATTAATAACAGAAACATCTGAACAGAGTCTATAAAGAATGTAGAATAAAGACAGAGTCAGTAGAAAGAAATACATTTAAATGACAATGGTGAGGGGAAAGTTAGAGGTTATTGTTCACTTAAGATGTTGAATTCATGACATAAAGCCAGACATTTCATACCATTCTTGTTATACACACTCCAAAGAAGGGAAAAATGCATCTCAGGCCTTTCAAAAAACACAGAGAAGGTTTAGTTCCCACATTTGTGAATGAAATACAAAGTCTTACAGTTGATTAATAACTACAGAAGAAAAATAAGTGATCAGTTATTTCTATATCATCACCACAAACTACACAGTTATGATAAATATGCAACGTTTTACTGATCAGCAGTGGTGAAAATGTACTAAGATCCTCTACGTAAAGACCGTACCAGTAAAGCAGTGCTACACTGTGGGCAATGCATTTTCCAGCTAATCCAAGGGTGGTTTTAAATAGTTCATGTAGCTCAAGAAGTCATATCCCATAAACACTTAATCCTTCAGTTTATCAGATCAAATTCAGAGTCAAAATCACCAATTTTGTAGATACACGGCTTTCACTGGACAGAAAAGGTATAACATATTGTAATCTGAAAAGTAACTAAAACTGTCATAGAAATGCAGTGGAGTAAAAAGTGGAGTAAAAGTACAAAGTTTACACTGTGACCACTAAATGTCGCTGTTTGCTCACTGTTTTCACCAGACCACCCGTATTCAGCTCGAAATATTAAACAAAAATTAGTAAGTTTAAGTTATTCAACAGACTCAAAACCCAATAAAATATTCATACAAGTGTGGCACACGATAGACGCGAGGCGACAAGTAGCCTTCGTGAAGCGTGTTGTGTTCACGCCTCTGCACCTCACAGGTGAGTTCATTTAAAAGTTAATGAGCATCCCTCGCTGTCTGACAAGAGAAAGCAGGTAACCTTGGGAAGGAAGTCATCGTGACTCGTCGATTGTAAGCTTAAAAAAAAAAACAAAAAAAAAACACACATCTGAAATACACAATGTGTGATTCAGAACAGCAAAAAGTAAGTTTTAATATGTTAAAATAGTTGTATTGAGCAAGCTGCAGCCTCAGTTTGGGGCGAACACAGCGTGCTAGCAAGCTTATCAGATATTTACTGCATGCTAAATAACCATATGGGTCTGATGCCATAAGCTTATATTACAACAATGGCTGCTGAACCTTACATTTTCATAAATAAATAGAATACAGTGATTTTTCTTGACAATGAATACCATTTCCTGGCTTGTTCTTTTTGTTCTGTGTCTTTTGGCTTTTTTGTGGTCATTATATATTCTTGTGAGGGTTTTTTTTTCACTCCCCACATTGTTTCCATCCACCCAGCAGGCTGAAAAGGTGTCTCAGCCTCAGTGGCCTGAGAATGGAGATGAGTGGAGTGATGGAGAGGATGGGACGAATATGGACTGCGGGCTTCTGCAGGCCATGGCCGAGGAGGATGAGGAGATAAATGTCTACAATGAAGAGACATTTGGAATGGGTGTGTTGATGTTTTACTTTTCATCATTTCCCAGACTATCTGAAATGGGTATAATTATTTTGTCCTCAAACAGGGTAACTGTTCTGTCAGGTTCTGCGGCAGGTGTGCTGATGCCATTTGAACTGTTTCTACACCGTAAAGAAAACTGAGAGGGAACTTGAAATTTTAAAGCTTCTGAATTTTGGGAAATACTTGCCTAAGACTTAAATGAGAATTTCAGTGCCAAATCTCAAGATTTCTATTCCCTTAAGACAGAACCAGCCTAGCTATTTCCACATTTTCCATGTGCTACGTTTACAGGCTGCTGACTCCAGCAATTTCTGAAGTTTTGGCTTTGCCTTTGTTTAACTCTTATCTTTAACTCTTATTGTTTAACTCATTTGTTAATTTACAACTTAGTTTTACTCAATTCTATCTGCTTAAAGTTAATAAGAAGATTCATAAACATCAGTCAAGAGATGACCAATTTAATAATAATTTAACAGATTGAGATTTTACAGTCTAGGGGATTCTGAAAATTGGTTTTCCAGCATTTCACCACTAAAAATAAACACAAATGAACAAAACTGTCTCACTTTGTAATGGATCACACATAATGCTGGTAAGTTAGGATGCCCCTCAGTTTTGTTGAAGCAAGACATTGGTGTAGTTTGTTGCCACAATGTTTACATTAAAATTCAAGCAGAATTATTATTTTTTTGACTTGCTACAGCATACACGCATAACCAGCTCTGTAATTAAGAGACCAAAAGGGAGTTTCATTGATGCATCCCCCAGTTTTGCATTAATATGTCAGAATACCGTTCAGCATCAGTCTACGTAAAGCAGCATCTATTATAGGCAAAATAGAGCCACAGACTTTAAACAGCAACACACATTAGCTTTCCCGCTAAAGTGTCCTTATCTAAAAATGTCTTGTCCTTCACCACAGCTTGTATAACGAGTAACCAAACGAACATTCACTCAGGAAAAGTGCTCTTCCAATGTCGGCTTGCAGGCTAGAAAGCTAATTAGCTGCTCAGCTGCAAAGTACATTAAAGATACCTGCAAATGTCACTTTGGTCTGGTCAGATAAGTTTCCTGTGGTATTCCACCAGCACTCAATCAAACACAGACCGGTCCCTCCAGCCACCCAAGACGAGAAGGAGCATTTCTGATATTTGTCCAGATGTCTATGAAGATTCTCAGTCATCCAGGTCATAGTTATCCAACGAAGGTTAAAATCAAGGGCAACTGGACTTGGTTGAAGATACTGGAAGACGTTTCGTCCCTCATCCAAAGGACTTCTTCAGTTCTGACTGACTGGCAGGGAAACTCAGCTATTTAACCTCAGTGGGGTCGTTGGCCCGGGTCATCATTACCGCTGGTTCGTTAGTGTTCCTTGTTGCTGTGACGACAGTCGTTATAGTCGTTAAGACTACCTGTGGCCAAGACTGAACGACCATCGTTGGTATCTTCACCTGAGGCCAATAGGTTACGTTTGAGTTTCCTGGGAAGTGATGACAGCATTGTAAGTGGGGGATAAGTGGTGGTGTAGACCCCCTCCCCTGTTCAATGACGGCTTCTCAACCCTGGTGTAGATGGCTTCCTTGACACCTCTTTCAAACCATCCATCTTCTCTGTCTAAAATGTGCACTTGGTGGTCCTCAAACGAGTGTCCTCTGTCCTTCAGATGTAAGTAGACCGCAGAGTCTTGACCTGAGGAGTTGGCCCTTCTGTGTTGAGCCATGTGTTTGTGTAGTGGTTGTTTAGTCTCCCCAATATACAGGTCTGTGCATTCCTCACTGCATTGGACCGCATACATTAGATTGCTTTTCTTGTGTTTGGGTGTGCGGTCTTTGGGGTGTACCAGCATCTGTCTTAGTGTGTTCTTGGGTTTAAAAAAATGATGACCCTGGCCAACGACCCCACTGAGGTTAAATAGCGGAGTTTCCCTGCCAGTCAGTCAGAACTGAAGAAGTCCTTTGGATGAGGGACGAAACGTCTTCCAGTATCTTCAACCAAGTCCAGTTGCTCTTGATTTTAACCTTCGTTGGATATTTGTCCAGATACCATTTTTTCCTAATCTAAAAATACTGAAAACAATTAAACATGTTTTTACAACAAAGGATGACTAAATATGATTTGAGTTGGGCTTTAAATGCTGATAATTGATATTTCTGGCCTAAAAACGCTAAAGAATACACATTGTCACTGTATTTCTATATGTACCTGTATCTTAGATCTTGATGCACATGGGACTACAGAGGGCCCCAGCAGTAGTCTCCTTCAGTTTGGAGAGCTGCTGCCTCCGCCACCCCCACCCCCTACACCCCCAACAACACCACCACCACCACCAGACCCAAAACCACCTTCCCGCCACAGCTCCCCCTCCCCTCCCCGACAGAAGCCACAGTATCTGCCCCGGGCTCCCCTAGGGTGGCATGGCAGAGCTAGGGGAGGAGGGCTGGGTAGGGGCCAAATGTTTGAAGACCCAGCTGTGATTAGGACAGTGGAGGGGCGCCCAAGCCTCAAGGTGATGCATGTTATTTGTCTGACATTTGGGATTTGACAGTTTTCCTCATAGCAGCTTGTCTTCATTGTGATCTGATTTTGCTTTTAAGAGTCTTGACAGTGCCATAGTGGACTGTGGAAATGCCATGTACCACAAAACCTTTGTGGATAATGTAAGTGACAACTTGACTAAGAGACATTTTATGTCACACGTCTTGTTTGTACTGCTAATGTTTCCTTTCATTGCTCGATTTTTATTTTTTAAAATTTTATGTCCTTCAGCATATGGAACCCTCTTCCAGAAAGACTAGAAGAATCTCAGGATCAATACTTCAGGTTAGGATCACTAATGAACATATTTATGATCTGTATGATAGTGGGTCACTCAAACAAATGTTGTCTTTTATTCTGTTTTTAGGACAGTGCTATAGTGTGTGTGATTGATGGTCACAGAGGCAGAGGTCAGGACCTGACCTCCAACTTCCTGGATTTGCCCTATCCTGTCTCTTCCTTCAGGGGCAGGAGAGGGGAACCCAGAGGATCCTACTCCAGAAGACTGTTTGGCCAAAGAGGTCCCCCTCAGGTGGAGAACTCATTTTACCAGATAATCATTTATTTTAAAGGAATAGTTCAACATCTTGGATTTTTTTTCTTGCTGAGAGTTGGATGAGGATCGATACCACTCGTATGGATTTATGCATTTATTTTTTTCACTGAATCTTAGTTTTCTCTTGCAGATGCATGCACCCATGGTACCAGGATCACCCATCTTCCCACGTCAACCCTTAACCCCACGGCAACATTACAATCAGGTTTATTCTGTAACAAATCAGACTATTTTGATACATGAAGTGTTTTGAGTTAGAACTGAGTGAAACTACGTGTCTGTCTCAAGCCATGTTTTTTTTTTTTCTTTTTTTTTTTTCGTGTTGTTTCAGACAGGGGGCTTCATGTTTCCTACAAACCGACCCTGCCCCTCCACTCCTCAGTCTCTGACTCCTAAGATGATGCAACTTCGCTTTGGGGCCAACTCGCCACGACCGTCCCCCTTTTACAGCCCCTTGTCTAATTCAGTGCAACATTTCAGGTGTGTGACGATTCGCTGCTTTGCAGGAATGTTTGAAGTATTTGTCGGTAAATAGTAGTATCAAGTATATTTAAGTCTTTGGCATTCTTGCTCATCCCTTCATGAATATATACAACTCTTAATCGACCTGACATTCATAAATTTTGTACAATCCCACCAATTACTACCTCCTGGAGATTAAAAAAAAAAGAATGCAGCTGTACACACCCAAAAACTACACAGCTGAACTTGGGTATTAACTTGAAACGTATCACAGTATATTAACAGATTCTTTATGTTAAGGGTAAAGCGGAGTAGTGATTTTACTGGAGGCCTAAACATAACCTACCTTGGCATAAAAGGATGTGACTGCAGACTGATGTAGGCTGTACACTCAATTTATTGATGCGCCTCTTACCAAAGCTCTTGAAATAAAAGGAAAAACTGACAGCTTCTTAAAGTGCAAGTTTACAGTGAAGATCGAATGAGAGAAGCATCTAAAAGAAATGCAAATGAAACCCTAAATGAAAATGATTAAAATCAGACAAACTGAACTAATACAAAGACCACATTCCGAAGATGTAGTAGTACAACTGTGATTATTGGATCATTTGGTGTCATAATAAGCAAGCATCTTTTAATCTTTGACTTTGTACATGTATACCGAGCCTTCCATCAAATTTTTATGGAAACTGATGAGCGTTGAATGCATCCATGGAGCTTTTGAATGTGAAGTTGTCTGACCCACAGGTACCCGGGTCCTGTCACCCAGCTCCACCCCCAACATAAACGACTACTTAGTCAAAAACAACACATGTTCCAAAGGTTGGTGTTAACATCACTTAAAGATTTTGAACCTGTTGTTTCATATTGAGTATGTTATGAGAGGGAATAAGCTTGTTTATAGAAAAAATATGACCGGATTATAGAAAATCTGAGGCCTGGGATCCTTACTGTAATCTTATGACGGGGAAAGAGAAGGAGTGGATCACCAGGCTGCAGATGATTCAGCTGCAAAGTGAAAATCCATACCTTGAGGACTACTATTACCAGGTAGGAAATCTTTGCTCTATTGCCAGTCACTGTCACTTTCGTTCCAAATAACCAACTTGTGCTCCTCAATATTTTTTTTGTATTTACTGTATCAATTCTTGAGTACATGACCAAAGACTGAGCATTTAATGACTAGCGTATTGAAACTTTGTCATAGGAGTACTATCGGCGAATAGAAGCAAAGATGGCAGAGGAAGAGCTGGGCATCAGGGGCAAGAGGGAGCCACCCAAGCTCACCACACCTTACATCACGAAAACTGACTCCTACACACCAGGTTTTTCTCTCCTCACCTTTTCATGCTATTAGACCACATTATTTTGGTACCTGATGTTGTCTAGAATCCTGCCATACTCTTAATACTGTCATTGCTACTGTTGTGAAACAAAGGGTGTAATTTGTTTCCGCTTGATTTTCTTACACTCTTAAGTCTCTGAAGATTTTTGTCTATCCGCCACAGTCCAAATGAGAGATCTCAGTTGATACACATCTTGATACGGTCACCTTCAGTTATTACCATGAACAATAAGGTTACCAAGAAGTAGCGGGTGTGGTTTTTGTTTTTTAGCTCTTATTTTTGCCTCTCAGGCTACATACAGGATGCCCTACTGTGGTGGTGCAGGTTGTTGGGATGTATGCAGCTAGAAAGGAATGCCTGCAGGCACTGGAAGAAAGCACTGCCAATTTAGTTTTTTATTTGCAGTTAATCTCCATGAGACACCTTATTTGTCTGTTCATTTTTATTTAATTTACTTCAATGTGCACCCCATCCCCAATCATGAAAACAAAATGTAAAAACAAATTATATATTCCAGTGGTGCACATTGAAGGTTCTCTGGGTCAAGTTGCTGTGTCCACATGTTACTCTCCTCGCCGTGCCATTGGCGCAGTTCATGCAGTCCAAGCTCAAGCTCCACTTGAGGTAACTGTTTTTTGAGACAACTTCTGGCATCTTGGTGCATTATTTGCATTAATCTGCCTTTTCTGATACTGAGACTTTTTTTTTCCAATTAACAGGAACTAAAAGACATCAGACAACAGCGGTTAGAGGTCCTCAGCAAAATAGAAAAGGTACCTTTTGGTTACGTGTTTAGATGAAGTGAGAATCTTTTTGTGTTTTCCTTTGCCTTCTCCAACACATGGTCACACCTGCCTGTTCTACCCTGCAGTTGTTCATAGTACTATTAGAGGTGGAGGAGACGGAGAGAATGAAAACCACTGTGTTGTCTGAAGCTGAAGAAAGAAGGTTGATGGAGAAGAGACAGAGGAAAGTGGAGCACATCTACTCCCAGCTGCAACACCACAATCCCCTGTGAGTTATACAAGAAGTGATGCGTCTTGTGTGATTGTGTGAAAATTAATTTGGCTTATACTTGTTTTTAGTTTGTAATGAAGCTATACCTTTCTAGTTAACATTTTGATGGATACTGAAGCAACTCATTTTCTCCAATGTTTGGTGTAGGGACTCAGGAGGGGAGTTTCTTCCTTTCCTGCTGGTCTCAAAAGGCAAAAGGCTACTTGCCCGTCTGCTCCCGTTCCTGAAACATGATACTGCACTGAAAATCTTGAGCATTGTGACTTCCAAACTACCTATGCTGATGAGCAGAGATGCAGAAGAGGTAGGGTAGTTTTCTGCCCTAAAGTTTTAAATGTAATTTCTCAGCAGTGCTGCTTTTACAGATTTCCTTCTGTATTTGTAACCAGATCTAAACTCGAAGGTATATTTCTCATCTTTATACATAATTAATCTGATCACGGACCTCGTCTCTCTTCATATCTAGGCCCTACCAGTGCTCTACCCGCCTCTACGAAATGTGATTGGAGGCCTGACATTTAGTCAGCTAATTGGGGTCCTCAAAGATCTCACATCATCAGAGTCTGTGACAACACATGACTCCCTCACGCTGGCATGTCAGAACAAGGTCTGTGCTTTATGTTGCTGTTGGGCTTTTTTGTGTGGAACTATTTTTGTCTCATCATTTCTTTTTCTTCCAGTTTGGACTGTCCTTATTGTATGCTCTCCTGTCCCAAGGAGAGAAGCTACTGTCCTCAGGCGTTCCTCTAGAGCCCAGCATCGGTGACTTTGAGACCTGGTGGGGATATTAAACCTAATATTCCATAATGGGAGATCCTTTTTACATCCTTATGAGGTTCAGACATAGTGTTCCTGTTGTCTCGTAGGACGGACACAATATTCCAGGTGGCGGGACAGCTTTCACAATGTTCACTGGTGGAGCCGCTCCTCATGCCCTCAAACCTGCTCACTCTCTTCTGCCGTTACCTGGACAAGCGCACTGTGTATCAGCTGAAAAGCAACATGGAGTAAGTTTTGATGTTTTAATACAAGAAGCAGATATTTGTTACTGTGCGTATATAGTGGACGTAGACCTAAATATTATTACTTTTATCGATTTTAGGTCTGCAACCGGATTCCTGGCTCTTCCATCTTAAGATGGACGGAAGCTGATGAAATGTTCAGCTAATGACCAGGTTGTGGTGAGCACTAGAGTGAAAGGAGCAGAAGCACTGCCCTGACAAAAACTCCTCGTTGTTCACTATAACTGAAGCTATGTAATGTTCTCAGACCTGCGTTCAAAATGCTTTTGCTTTATTTTTTTTTCCCCCCTCATCCCCTCACATTTCTGCACACTCAAACTGTTTCCCTTTTTTATTTCCTTTTATCTGATGTTTTTACTTTCCTCCCTTTGGTCTCCAGTAGGTTACATCAGAATGCAATTTATTCTGAAATCACAAACCTGATGCTGCTTTTTTTTCTTTTTTTTTTTCTTTCTTTTTTTTTTTTTACCTTCCAAAACAAGGGTTGCCATCAGATTACTATATACTGAGTTGTAACATTACATGAACTAGCAGATGGAGCTGACTGAGTTATGTGGCTTCTAACCACTCCACGCTTGCGTGTTTCCACACATCAGTTAATGCCAGTTACATTCAGTAACAAGAAACTTGAGCTATCACTTAATGAGAAATGTTTGATCGTATATTGGTTACCAGACTGAGGATTGTGTAGTAATTTATGAGCTCAAACTATATGTTCATGATTATAATAACCATTAAGGAAGTTGGCATGGTCCATCAACATAGGTCATGCAATTTTTTGTTTTTGTAAAAAGACATTGTGTATACGTGTGTATTGATACTTAAAATGATGTATTTGATGTAATTTTCCATCTTAGATATCTCAGTTGTAAAGATTTATTTATTGTATTCATTTGGAAACAGGAATAACTTAAATTTCACCCTTGTAGAGCACTTGCAACACAAATAAAAAAAAAAATCTTCAAAAATGCTCAGCTGTTTGAGTCTGCAGAAAATGCACTTTCATGAAAGTGAAAGTCCTGGACATGAGATTTTATTTGTGTAGTTTGGCAGGGAATCGGACAGGCATTAAGAATAACTATAAATGGCCAATGATTCTCATCTGCTAATGTTTGCTATACGGGGGGGGATTATTTGATCCCCTGCTGATTTTGTACGTTTGCCCACTGACAAATTATCAGTCTATAATTTTAGTGTTAGGTTTATTTGAACAGTGAGAGAAAAACGCATGTCAAATGTTATAAATTGATTTGCGTTTTAATGAGTTAAATATTTGACCCCTCTGCAAAACATGACTTAGTACTTGGTGGAAAAACCATTATTGGAAATCACAGGTTAGATGTTTCTTGTAGTTGGCCACCAGGTTTGCGCACATCTCAGGAGGGATGTTATCCCACTCCTCTTTGCAGATCTTCTCGTAAGTCATTTAAGGTTTCGAGGACGACGTCTGGCAACTCGATCGTTCAGCTCCCTCCACAGATTTTCTATGGGATTAAGGTCTGGAGACTGGCTAGGCCACTCCAAGACCTTTTAATGTGCTGCTTCTTGAGCCACTCCTTTGTTGCCTTGGCCGTGTGTTTTGGGTCATTGTCCTGCTGGATTACCCATCCATGCCCCATTTTCAATGCCCTGGCTGAGCGAAGGAAGATCTCCCCCAAGATTTGACGGTACAAGGCCATGTCCATCGTCCCTTTTGATGCAGTGAAGTTGTCCTGTCCCTTTATGCTTTGGGGGTGTTTTTATGCTAATGTTTCCACCTCCATGTTTGACGGTGGGGATGGTATTCTTGGGGTCATAGGCAGCATTCCTCCTTCTCCAAACACGGCGAAGTTGAGTTGATGCCAAAGAGCTCGATTTTGGTCTCATCTGACCACAACTTTCACTCAGTTCTCCTCTGAATCATTCAGATGTTCATTAGCAAACTTCAGACGGGCCTGCACATGTGCTTATTTAAGCAGGGGAAACTTGCGGGCGTTGCAGGATGTCAGTCCTTCACGGCATAGTGTTACCGCTTGTTTTCTTGGTACCTATGTTCCCAGCTGCCTTAAGATCATTGACAAGATCCTCCTTTGTAGTTCTGGACTGATTCCTCACCGTTCTCATGATCATTGCAACTCCATGAGGTGAGATCTTGCATGAAGCCCCAGACCGAGGGAGATTGACAGTTTTATTATTTATTTATTTTTGTGTATTTTCCATTTGTGAATAATCGCACCAACTGTTACCTTCTCACCAAGCTTCTTGGCAATGGTCTTGTAGCCCATTCCAGCTTTGTGTAGGTCTACAATCTTGTCCCTGACATCCTTGGACAGCTCTTTGGTCTTGGCCATGGTGGAGAGTTTGGAATCTGATTGCTTGCTTCTGTAGACAGGTGTCTTTTATAGAGGTAACAAATGTGATTAGGAGCACCCCCTTTAAGAGTGTGCACCTAATCTCAGCTCGTTACCTGTATAAAAGATACCTGGGAGACCGATCTTTCTGATTAAGAGGGGGTCAAATTCTTATTTCACTCACTAAAATGCAAATCAATTTATAAACTTTTTCTGGATTTTGTTGTTGTTCTGTCTCTCACTGTTCAAATAAACCTACCACTAAAATTATAGACTGATAATTTGTCAGCAGGCAAACGTACAAAGTCAGCAGGGGATCAAATAATTTCCCCCACTGTATATGAGCATCAATTTTGTGTTGACTGTTTCATAATCAGTTAAACCCTTTGTAGTTGCTTTAACATTGTTTTATCACCTAAATTCTTAATGACTTTTCCAAACTTGTGAAAAATTGCATACCAAATTTTTAACTGATGTTTCAGAAGTCTACTGCAGGAAATGTCAGATGGTTACCATTTTTATACTTGACTAAACTCAGGGAAGGCAACAAATGCAATTATTATTTTTACTGATATAACAGTATCGTCTATGGGAAGTAAAGCCAGTATCAATTAAACACAAGGATTAATAGGCAGCATCAATGCAGGCCATGTCTGACTCTGATCATTAGCCTATGAATTGACTGCACAACATCACACCAAGTCTCACCAAACCAGATTTCCTGTGTCTTCTGTTAAAGCTGCTGAGATTTAAGCAAACTAATAAGCCTGTTCTGTGCTGAAACGCCAGTGTGTGACATTCCTAAAGGGAGGAACTGACAGCAGCACATGATGTAACTCTAAACTGGTAGTCTACAGCAGACTTTTTTTTTTAATACAGAGCAGATGTTTTGTTAATGACTGAGTAAAACTAGAACAGAAGGAGGCTCTGCTGAAGAGAGAATAAATAGTAACATGAAGCGCACTGTAGTTAATGCTACATCATCAATATAATTATTTGAAAGTGTTCAGCTCATGCTATATGCATGACTTCAGTGCTCTGCCAGCCCTGTGAAATATACGGAGGATTAAATTTAAATGTGAACATTTAGTTGATTTATTGCTAAGAACAGTAATGCATTATAACAGTGCAGTATAAATCTAAAGATTATTAAAAGAACAAGAGCCCTCCTGACTGTTAAAGCCCCTATGTCCACTTTTGCATCTGTCCCAGGACCCCTGCCAGCAAATAGTTGCATGTCTATTATCACTGTTACAATATATCAAACGAACACTGTTAATCCAATACAATTAGACAACCCCTGGACTATCTCTTAAATCTTTAGGAATTTTGTTTAAAAATCTGATTTTGTTGTTTTTAAGAGCATATAACTATAAATTCTTCATACAGTGGTTGGTAAATCATGTAATCATTTGCAGCAAGTTTAAAGTAACATCGTCAAGTAAAGTTGTATTTCCAACGCCAGCCAGCACTCCAGTAGTTGTCAGGATCCAATGACTGTCAACCAAGCACTAAGTCAGAGCCCTGTTGGCCAGCTGCACAGTAATACATCCCTATGCGGAGTCAGAGAATCCTTGTCGAACAGTGGTTGCACTGTGGTCTTGAGCCCAGGTTTTTTTTCCCGGTACACAGTGACACAATAACATCCGGACAACCACCTCAAAGCAAACCACCACCATAGGAGAGCAGTGAAGCCAGCCTCAGCATTAGCTGTCTGCTAATATTAACGGATACAATTTGGCATTGCATCACTTCACATCATCTGTGTGTTTAAAATAGTTTGTTTTGGTGTTCAGCTTGGTTTAATACTGATAGCATAGGTATACAAGGCAACACATGTCAGTCAGGAAGCACAAGAGACTGAAACCCAGACTGATTATTTGTCTTCACTTCTTTTGAAAACCATCCTGACGACGTGTGTACTTTCTTGTATGGAAGGTCAACATAAGATATTAATGTAATTGTGTGTGTTCTGTAAATATTTGTGGGGAAATATATGAATTGCATGTGGCTTTTAAGCACAATGACCTTTCCACCCTTCAACAGTTTTAGTACAGACATACATTTTCCACTCAGCACAGCTGTCAGCCACAGGAACCCACATACGTATAAAAGCTGTTCCCAGGCAGGGCATCTTTAAACAAAACTACAGCCTGTGTTAGCAGCTCTGGTAGACTGTGCATAGACACACTGTTGTTTTGAGCTAAATGCTAAAGTCAACATGCAGATTTTATACAGGTAAGGTTGATGGGAATGTCATTAGTTTTGCAGGTATTTGGTCACAAAGCAAAGAATTGGACAAACTTAGATTTTGCCCTGATCACTGTGTTAGAGAAAAATTAGGTATTACTAAATTTGTCACAATTCATCCTGAGGAGAAATGAATGTCCGAGTAAAACATTTCACACATGTGAAAACTTAAGACAAGTTTGTCAGTGGCAGCAGTGGTGGTGTGAGTGTTTGTAGAGAAGCCAAGTATGTGAGAGGTCTGGGTGGGCTGTGTGGTGAGATGTTAACCTCTCCTTGACCTCATAAGAGGAGGAGTTGGACTTTAAGTGAGGAATCTATGTGAAAGGTGAGAGATCTTTCCCTTTTTACTTGCTTTTTTCTTTAAATATACAAGGGACTGCTCTCACCCACCAACTGTGTGTGTGTGTTTGTGTGCTGGGACCATGGAGATATTATGGACTTAAAGAGGCATGAGTGGAGGATAACAGTCACTCAGTTTCCATCATCTCCCTCTTTAAACTGGCTCTCTCTTTTGAAGTGATGTCATTTCTGTCATCAAGTCCATTCACAAATAATATTATTTTGGTCTCCAGAAACATTTGACTAAAAGTGCCTGCAAAAACTTGTCTTTAAAACCAAATATTGCTCTAAGCTGCTCCCTATTCACATCACCATATGTACAGTTTTATCATTGGGTTCTATCACTGACTACAATCATTAAAAATGATTTATGTCTGCAAGTGTTTAGCTTAGCATGTCTGCTGTACATGTTTCCACGGTTGGACTGTTCAGGGGTGTTTTTATGCTTTACAGTGTGTTTAATGTTATGTGAGAATGACTTCTGTCATCCTCTACATGCTATTTTTGACTTGACTACAGTTAATTTAAATAAATTAAAGCAGACTCTGTTTACAAGGGAAACACATTTATTTATGCTTTGCAGCACTGCATGGCATTAGGAAGTGTTAGCCAGCATCACCAAAGGTAACACCTTGACCCAAATAAAATACTGCACAACAATATAAAGTCAGGAAATTATTAGTCTATGATATGGTCCGTATTAACAACTTCAACTATGACAATGATCACAAATTAGTGCAAAGAAAGTGTAAAATGCCTTCCTTTAATCCAGCTTGTGTGATGCACCGTCCAGTCTTCATCAGTCAATGTCCAATCTGGTGAACCCTCTCTCTTTGCTATCTCTCTCTTAAGTGTTAATGCACTTTAAGTGACCAATTATTTAGTTAGTGTGTGTGCACCTAGGGTGTCTCTCCCAGCCGGCGGGGGAGGATCTTGATAATAGCTGCATCTATAAGTAGAAGGAGGGGCGCCTCAGACCAGAGTGTATATAAGACCCCCACAATCAGGCTTAACCATTCTCATTCTCCTGCTGCTGGGTCTAAAACATTTTGGGCTTTTTTCTCCAGGTCCAGTATGTTGGCGCAACTACTACTTCAGGGTGCGGTGATCCTTTGGCTCGTGCAGACAGCACACACGGGGGGTGAGTGAAGTGCAGAGGCACCTGCTGAGAGTCAGCCATATCCAAAATAATGTGATAACCAACTGTCTCATCTTTTTAAATTATCTAACATGGCTAAATACTGCCTTTATGACAGAAGCCATGAATCAGCATTATCAATTCAATATACAGCAACCACCTTGTGTTAAGGACCTTCATTTGTTATATAATGGGGCAAGAAATTAGGGAGGGTTAGTCAAATGGGCCAATTTAAACCTTCTGGTCACTGTTATTGGAATTCATCTATATAGTTTATTAAGGGGAGAAATGTGTTTCCTATATGTTCTGTAGAGTCACTGTGGTCAGTTATGTGGTCAGAGTCTGTAGAGAGAAGGACAAACACTTGAGTTATGAACTGACATACTGCCAATGAAGATGTTATCTGTCAGCTCTCTATCTGTGTGCGTGACATACTGTATTTTACACTTTCCCTTCTTGTTGCTTTACATACAAATATAAATATTCAGAAATTCAGTATTTTGTCTCTCTTAGTGATTGCTTCTACCATCTTAACTTTTAATTGGTTTAAAATGAAACAGAAATGGCTGTTAGATTTGCACTCCTTGAGATCTAAAATATTTTAAATACTAAAGTCAGAAATTAAGATACTTTTGAATGATTTGAATTGACATCATTAATTGAAATTACTGAATTTCTCTCTTAAAAATGGGAGGATGTAAATGTTTGTACAGAACAAACTGCGAAAACATACAGTCTACTTGTATCTGTATATTGTTGGGGTTTAAAGACTCCCAAACTGTGTGAAAGTGTTGTAGTACTGCATGCTCCAGTCTTGTGCAATGAAAGAGTACAACCTGCTGAGAGTCCTGAAGAAATGAAACAAATGTCTTTCAGATGCTCGGGTTTGCCTGTCAAATTTCAAACGATCATGTTAAACTGATATCTTGGCAACGCTCGCTGTATGTCCCTTACATGTGCTTGGCCCTCTGCCAACCATTCTTGTGACGATGCGAAGCAGCTATATATTCTTTTCTTTTTACCAGCGGAAAATCAAAGGCAGCTTGGCTTTAGTGGCAGCAGCAGTCTAAATTTAACATCCCTCTGTGAGAAGGGAAGAGAATAGTTTTACTGCTTGTACACAGTCACTCCATTGACTTCTTTAGAGTCGAGGCTCGTCAATTCCCAAAAGAAAAAGTTCATCAGACTGATGACTCACCAGGAAACTGGATTTACTGAGTGTGTACTTGCTAATTTAGGGACTGAATGACAATGATCAGGGTGGGCTGAACCTTTTGTTTGACACAACACAATATTACTGCCACGAAATTTTTGGATAAAGAGCTTCTAAATAGTTATTATTAAATGAATGAACCTGAGCTCCATGATATTTTCACCCCACACACAGATTCCAAATAAAAAATAAAATAATAATAAATAATAATATAAATCTGCGATGAAAAAAGTTAACGCTCTCCTGTTTTCGAAGAAAGTCAGAGTATCCCTCCTTAAATTAAATTGAAATAAAAACATTTGTTCAGTCCTGTACAAACTCACAGAAACAGTTTCTAAAATGAGATGGACATTTGTCAATGAGATATTGATTTCAGTTGGCCTCCTGGTTGATTTTAATCTTTGATATAAGACTGTAAATAATAATAATGCTGCAGTTATTTAGTGGTCTAGAGTCGGTTCAGTGGTCAAGACAGGTTACAAGTGTAATTTTCAATTCCCCTGTTAGCCTTTTGATATCATCTCTAACATGAGTCTACCTAATATAAGGCAGCTGTATAGAGTTATGTCTGCCTGAGCAGGAGGACAATCATCTAAATCATAAAACCATTTTCAGACTTCTTCAGTGTGTTGATTTGTGAGTTAATCTTGTGATGACTGAAAATTTATCATCAGTTAGTGACCCAAATTGTAAGAATACATTTCCAAACTTGTGGGGGAAAAAGTTATTTCTTATTTGTCCAGAGTTTGTTTGAAAATTATTAGAGTGAGGAGGTGTTGGTAAACATTATACCTAATTTTATTAAAAAGAAAGGCCCTCTCCAGAATTATTAACAGCTTTCTTGGTTATATTTTGGGTTAACGGTGGATGAATAGAATATTAATTGTGTAAATTGAAATCTCCCATGGACCAAAGAAAACAAAAATGTAGATCAGCTCATATCTTTAATGTTACTATTTTAACTGATATGCCAGGTGGATATGTTGCAAAGCTAAATGTTTTCCCCTGTTATTTAACAGTAGTTAATATGGACTGTAGTTTTACAATAAACTCTTGGTTCTGTTGGGCCCCATTTGATCTCTGTTTTCAACAGCTCCCTATCTACTGGTTGTGTCCCTGATTATTTTAAAACGGCTTGCGTGAACCCACTTTTAAAGAAACCTGGTTTAGATCTCTCCCTCCCACATAATTTTAGACCAATTTCAAAACTGCCTTTTATTGCAAAGATTCTAGAAAGAATTGTGTCCAAACAGCTGCTCACTGTACTGGAAAATAACAAAATATTTGAAAAGTTTTAGTCTGGTTTTAGGAAGTACCACAGCACTGAGACTGCACTGCTTAAAGTCACCAATGACCTTTTAATGTCTGCTGATGAAGGTATGTGCTCAGTCCTGGTACTCCTGGACCTTAGCGCTGCTTTTGACACCATTGATCACAACATCATGTTAGACAGACTGAGGCACTGGGTGGGGATCTCTGGTACTGCCCTAGAATGGTTTTCATCCTACCTGTCAAATAGGAAGTTTTGCGTGTCTGTAAACAACTATGTCTCTTCGTTCTGTCCAGTTAAATATGGTGTGCCTCAGGGGTCGGTCTTAGGACCCATTTTGTTTTCCTTGTATCTACTTCCCCTTGGACATATTATCCATAAACATGGCATTTCTTTTCATATTTATGCTGATGACACACAAATATACTTGCCCGTCAGATCCACAGATCCTGGAATGCTGAGTTCACTTAACAACTGCCTTTGTGAAGTTAAAAAATGGATGTCAAAAAATTTCCTCCAGCTGAACTCAGACAAAACAGAAATCCTGGTCATCGGGTCCCAGCAGATGGCAGATCAAATACTGCCATCTGCTGGTTCCCTAGTAAATCACATTAAGCCTGTGGCAAAGAACCTTGGTGTTTGGTTTGATAGTAATTTAAATTTCGAGCAGCACACCACAAATCTATTTTAACTTTTAAGGACACCGAGACCATTTTACACGCCTTCGTCTCATCACGCCTGGATTATTGCAACAGCCTTTTCACCTGTTTAACCCAAAAATCTATTGATCTACTCCAGACTGTCCAGAACTCAGCTGCCAGGCTTTTAACCAGAACAAAGAAATATGACCACATTACTCCTATTTTAGCTTCATTACACTGGCTCCCAGTATGTTTTAGAATTGACTTTAAAATTCTATTGATCACTTTTAAAGCTCTTCATGGCCTCTCGCCTTGTTATATTTCTGACCTTTTAGTCCCATACGCCATAGTACCAGCATGTACCTTGAGATCCTCTGGCAGAGGTCTGTTGTCTGTTCCAGAGTCTCGACTGAAAACTAAAGGGGACAGAGTGTTTGCTGTCAGGGCCCCGAGGCTCTGGAACAGCCTGCCCGAGGAAATCAGGTCGGCTGAGTCAGTGAACTCTTTTAAGTCCCTTCTTAAAACATACTTTTATAGGAGAGCTTTTCCTGATCTTATTTGACTTTATTTTATCCCTTTTATTTTATTGTATTTTACTAATTTTATATTAATTTTTCATGCTCTTATCTTGTTTTTTTTCTTTCTTTTTTTTTTTTTGTATTATTCTTTACACTTGTTAAAGCACTTTGTAACTTGTTTTTGAAAAGTGCTCTACAAATAAGGATTATTATTATTATTATAATAAATGTGCTGTGTTTAAAGGTTATGGTCCTGCATCTGGAGTATCCAATGGACACGGGCCACAACCTAATGGTAAACCCAACACATTCTGCTCACTTTTAAACACCTGAAACATGGAAATTATTGCATTTGTGGGATTTCCACACAAGCCAAAACGTTTGTTTACAACTGTCGTGTGGATTTTTCTAGGAAAGAAACCTCAGAACGGTGGAGGTATAGGAAGAATGCTGATGCCATCAAAAGGTAAATTAACAGCAAATTTCTCCAGCCATTCCTCTGTTCCTGAGAGTATTTTGTTATTAATAATGTCTTTCTAAGGTGTGGGTCAAGCAATGGGTGCGCAAAATGGATATGGTGGATACCCCACAAAAGGCATAGGTTAGTGATTACAGAATGTTTGCAAAACACACACGCAAATTATACACTTTTGGCCAGCAGTTGGTGTTTCAAATGGAGCTAAATCTAATGGTAAATGTGTTTCAAGTCCAAATTTAAAGCTTATTCTAACTACACACAACCATTTCCCACCATTTATCTAATCTATTTAAGGCTATGGTGCTGCTGGTTCCACCAATAAAGGAGGGACGAAAGGTAAGTTTGCCATGTACCTGCTTAAACAAAATCACAAAAGTCACTTGTCACTCTGTAAAAGCTTTAGTTAGTGGATATATATAACTATGCTGGATCTTTTGGTTATGTTTTCCATCTTGTTTTTTAAGGCTATGGAGCCACAGCTGGTGTAATCAATGGACAAGGTGGCAAACCACAGGGTAGGTGCTCTACAGCAACCACGATTTTCAGCTTCTGTTTTACCACTAAACTAACGCTCAACCTGTAGGCTTAAAAAGTGGATGTTAAAAGTTTGCTTCCTCTTTCATGAATGGTGAACAGTTTTTACGACATCCAAAGATACGATTAAAATATTCCCAAATATATCTGCATGAACTGCTTCTGGTGGAGCTTCAGAGCTTATCTTCAGTTATCTCAAGAATCACTGTTTTCCAACCAATGAAAGGCATCGGTATAAAACACGTCTTCTCGCTCTCGCTCACACACATACACTAAGCAACAAAAAGTTCAAGTTAAATTGTCTTTATTTTGCAGGCTACGGAGCACAAGCTGGAGGATATGATGGACAAGGAACTAAAGGCAATGGTATTTTAGATGTGATGATGGGGTTGATTTGTATGATTAATATGCTATTATCTTTTGTTGGTTTTTACAGCTTTTAAAAGAACTTTTTGTGTTGTATGTGTTTGTAGGTTATGGCGCTGCTGCTGCTGCACATAAAGGACTTGGAACAAAAGGCAATGGTAGGGTAGCTCCTACAGCACTGTTTTTAAAATGTCTGTGTTTATTGATTGGATGTTAATAATAAAATCTGGTTGTACAGTATATACATACCTTAAGAGTGTTGTGGGAAAAACCGTGATGAACACAGTAAAGACTTTAAAAGATTCATAATAAAGTAAGAAGAAGGAATTTGAACATAAAAAGTGATGTGCTTGTGACACTGGGTTAAAAGGAGACAGTTGATAGTATCCAAAGCCACACTTAAGTCTAAAAGGATTTGAGTTTTAAAGTTTCAACACAAGCAAGCAGGTATTTGTTGTTTTAAAAGCACTGCACCATCCATAAATTTAAACCCTAACTGAAATGATTTGATGGTGTTTGTCAAGCTACAGAAGGACCTTGAACTGATCTTGTAGTGGCAGCAACATGTTGCAGTGAGTCGATTCATTAAATTCCTCTTTATGCTAGGCTATGGTGCTGGATCCTGTGTGGACATGGGAGCAATACCAATCATAATGTCTGCAAAAACTGAACTTTAAAACACATTGTTAAATAAATATAAGCTAACCATAGGTTAAAAAGTAAATGTTAAAAGTTGGTAGTTTTCCTCATTAACGAATGACAGAAGTTTCAGCACTGAGAAAAAGCATTAAAAAAAATTCTGAAAGCACTCCAGCATCCCAAAATACAATTAAAATATATTACCATTGAGCCCTGTAAATGCATCTCTCCACTAATTTGCATCTATTGCAATTTAACTTGCTGATTATTCGCTGTAATATAGTCACATTGTGGTCTTTGTTGCAGGATATGGTGTTCAAGCCGGCCCAACCAATGGACAACAAATGAAAGGCAACGGTATGAAACACATCTTCTCACTGAGGACACTCTTTCTCTCTCACACGCACACACACACACACACACTGAGCAACAACAACATTCAATTTAAATTTTCTGTATTTTGCAGGCTACGGAGCACAAGCTGGCGGATATGGCGGACAAGGAACTAAAGGCAATGGTATTTTAGATGTGGTGATGGGGTTGATTTGATATACATACGTGTTACATTTAAAAAAAAGAAAGATTAAATATAGTATGATAGAAATGCTATTAACTTTCATTGCTATTTATCGTTTTGAAAAGAAAAAAGATAAGTAGAGATGGAAAACATTTTTGTGTTGTATGTGTTTGTAGGTTATGGCGCTGCTGCTGCTGCACATAAAGGACTTGGAACAAAAGGCAACGGTAGGGTAGCTCCTACAGCACTGTTTTTAAAATGTCTGTGTTTGTATTATTAACATCCAATCAACAATCTGGTTGTACAGAAACCACTCCAGCATCCCAAAATATGATTAATAAATAAACATGTAATAAATACATTAATGGCAAAATATATCGCCACAGAGCCCTGTAAGTTATTCTGAAGAACCCAGGTGCAATGGGGTTGCACAGGTGATGAACCGCTGTAGATTTTTTTTCTGATGTGTACTCAGTGTTCTGTATCAGAATCACTGTTTTCCACTAACTTCTCCAATTTTTATATGCATTGTTTGTAATCCAGGAGGAAATCCGGCAGTTTTACCTAATGGAAACGGAGGTACATCGAATGGTAGATGTTAATGCATCTCTCCACTAGTTTGCATCTATTGCAATTTAACTTGCTGATTATTCGCTGTAATATAGTCACATTGTGGTCTTTGTTGCAGGATATGGTGTTCAAGCCGGCCCAACCAACGGACAACAAATGAAAGGCAACGGTATGAAACACATCTTCTCACTGAGGACACTCTTTCTCTCTCTCACACACACACACACACACACACACACACACACACACACACACATACACACACATACACTAAGCAACAAAAAGTTCAAGTTAAATTGTCTTTATTTTGCAGGCTACGGAGCACAAGCTGGAGGATATGATGGACAAGGAACTAAAGGCAATGGTATTTTAGATGTGATGATGGGGTTGATTTGTATGATTAATATGCTATTATCTTTTGTTGGTTTTTACAGCTTTTAAAAGAACTTTTCGTGTTGTATGTGTTTGTAGGTTATGGTGCTGCTGCTGCTGCACATAAAGGACTTGGAACAAAAGGCAATGGTAGGGTAGCTCCTACAGCACTGTTTTTAAAATGTCTGTGTTTATTGATTGGATGTTAATAATAAAATCTGGTTGTACAGTATATACATACCTTAAGAGTGTTGTGGGAAAAACCGTGATGAACACAGTAAAGACTTTAAAAGATTCATAATAAAGTAAGAAGAAGGAATTTGAACATAAAAAGTGATGTGCTTGTGACACTGGGTTAAAAGGAGACAGTTGATAGTATCCAAAGCCACACTTAAGTCTAAAAGGATTTGAGTTTTAAAGTTTCAACACATGCAAGCAGGTATTTGTTGTTTTAAAAGCTCTGCACCATCCATAAATTTAAACCCTAACTGAAATGATTGATGGTGTTTGTCAAGCTACAGAAGGACCTTGAACTGATCTTGTAGTGGCAGCAACATGTTGCAGTGAGTCGATTCATTAAATTCCTCTTTATGCTAGGCTATGGTGCTGGATCCTGTGTGGACATGGGAGCAATACCAATCATAATGTCTGCAAAAACTGAACTTTAAAACACATTGTTAAATAAATATAAGCTAACCATAGGTTAAAAAGTAAATGTTAAAAGTTGGTAGTTTTCCTCATTAACAAATGACGGAAGTTTCAGCACTGAGAAAAGGCATTAAAAAAATTCTGAAAGCACTCCAGCATCCCAAAATACAATTAAAATATATTACCATTGAGCCCTGTAAATGCATCTCTCCACTAGTTTGCATCTATTGCAATTTAACTTGCTGATTATTCGCTGTAATATAGTCACATTGTGGTCTTTGTTGCAGGATATGGTGTCCAAGCCGGCCCAACCAACGGACAACAAATGAAAGGCAACGGTATGAAACACATCTTCTCACTGAGGACACTCTTTCTCTCTCACACGCACACACACACACACACACACACACTGAGCAACAACAACATTCAATTTAAATTTTCTGTATTTTGCAGGCTACGGAGCACAAGCTGGCGGATATGGCGGACAAGGAACTAAAGGCAATGGTATTTTAGATGTGGTGATGGGGTTGATTTGATATACATACGTGTTACATTTTAAAAAAAGAAAGATTAAATATAGTATGATAGAAATGCTATTAACTTTCATTGCTTTTTACTGTTTAAGTAGAGATGGAAAATGTTTTCGTGTTGTATGTGTTTGTAGGTTATGGCGCTGCTGCTGCTGCACATAAAGGACTTGGAACAAAAGGCAACGGTAGGGTAGCTCCTACAGCACTGTTTTTAAAATGTCTGTGTTTGTATTATTAACATCCAATCAACAATCTGGTTGTACAGAAACCACTCCAGCATCCCAAAATATGATTAATAAATAAACATGTAATAAATACATTAATGGCAAAATATATCGCCACAGAGCCCTGTAAGTTATTCTGAAGAACCCAGGTGCAATGGGGTTGCACAGGTGATGAACCGCTGTAGATTTTTTTTCTGATGTGTACTCAGTGTTCTGTATCAGAATCACTGTTTTCCACTAACTTCTCCAATTTTTATATGCATTGTTTGTAATCCAGGAGGAAATCCAGCAATATTGCCCATTGGAAACGGCGGTACGTTGAATGGTAGATTGTACATGCATCTCTCCATCATTTTGCATCCATTGCAATTTAACTTACTGATCGCACTGTGATGTTTGCTGCAGGATATGGTGTTCAAGCCGGCCCAACCAACGGACAACAAATGAAAGGCAACGGTATGAAAAACGTCTTCTCACTGAGGACTCTCATACACTGAGCAACAAAAATATTATATAATTTTATATGATTGTAATTTTAAAATATTGTATAATTTAATCATTTCCAGGTTATGGAGCTCCTGCTGCTGTAGCTCCAAATGGAAATGGTGTCTAGTAATAGTAGTAGTAATCATTTTGTGAGGACAGACAGTATGCTGTATGCACATTATATTAGTGCTGGAAATGTTTTAGGTCATTTTACGGTAGTGCTACATTTCCAAAAACTGCAGCTGACCAAAAGACAAAGTGGTAAATTCCCAGTTAGGGCTGCAACTAACAGTTCATTCATCTATTGTTTTTCTGACCCATAAATGATTCACTTAGTTTGACAAAATATTTATTAAAATTTGAAAATGTCCATCACTTGTACCACATCCCAAAGTAATGTCTCAAAATGACAAAAGATCTTGAAGATGCCATTTTTATATATTTTCACCTGCTGTCAAAACCAGTGACGGTCAGTTTAATGGTCATCTAATAAAGCCATGTATTTTATTAGGTTTAAAAGAAAGGATGAGTAGGGATGTGTTTGTGTTGTATGTGTTTGTAGGTCATGGCGTTGCTGCTGCTGCACATAAAGGACCTGGAACAAAAGGCAACGGTAGGGTAACTCCTACAGCACTGTTTTCTCAAACTCAAACAGTTAATTTGACCAAGTTAAAATGACTAAACATTGGTGCACAGACAGTGACATTCTTGTGACACTGGATTAATATGAGACAGTTGATAATATCCAAAGCAGTCATCGTCCAGATCACACATCATGCTAATTGGCTCTCACCTAACATCAAATGAAGTGGTTTTGATTAAAGTGTGATAGGCTATGGTGCTGGATCTGGTGTATCTAATGGACAAGGGGGCAAAAACAAAGGAATTGTCTGCCAAAATTGAACTGAACACATATTTAAATAAATGAAATGTGTAAATAGACTGCAATCATCGTTCTATAGGTCAAGGAGCCGCAGTTTGGCCATCCAGCAGCAAAGGGCCAAGACCGAATGGTAAGAGGTGTAAAGTGGTTATGTTGGAATGGGCAATATGATACTTTTTGAATTTATGCAACACAAAATATATTTGTCTACATACTTATGTAACGTAAGAATGTCTCTCTTTAACAGGACAAGAGGAAGCTGGAAGTAAACCTATGAAAGGATATGGCCGACCACCTTACGGGGCAGGTAACTCATCTTCTGCCACCAGGTAATCCTAATATTCACTTTGACACAACATTGATACATATGTACTTCTGGGATTTAAGGTCCAGGTGTGGGGATGGGAGCCTCCAGAGGTCTGGGAGTACCTCAGCTTGCCAGGAACCAAGGTAAGTGAAGGTCATGACACGGTACTGAAGCCGCCATCTAATACACCAGTAATAATGTGTTTATTTGTTCTTCCAGCATATGGCCGTAATGGTCATAATGGTTATGGTGCTCAACCCATGGGAGGTGAGTAATACAAAGGTCAGTCCATACTGACATGACTAAAAATTAAATGCTAATATTCGATATATATGTGTTTACCATATTTAAAGGTTACAATGGTGGTTATGGCAGTGCTGGTTTGGGTCTAGGACCTCGGTATAGAAATGGAGGAATGAAGGGACCAAAGCAAGGTAGGAATATCCCTACTGTCAATGTTTTGACAAATGCTTTTAGATTATTAATAATTCCACAAACCGTTTTGACAGTTGTTAAAATTTCTGGCTATGGTGCTGCAGCTGGTGTACGTAACGGACAAGGTGCAAAACCCAATGCTAAACATATAAATAAAATATCCAACACTATATATCACATCCACTGTTACCCTTTTACCTGGTGAGCTATGAACACCATTGTTGTTGTTTGTTAATCACTGTTGTAAAAAAACGATTCAAAGCAATATCCATCTTTCCATCATCTGTGGATCTTCTTGTGTGTAGCACAGGCAAAGTTGTCAATATACCTCAAACAACATCTCAAATAAAATCAGCAAAACTGATTTAGTTTTACGCTGATATATTCCTTTTAGGGTATGGCAATATTCCAAGTGGGTATGGTTCCAAACCCAATGGTAAGACAATATATTTATGATTCAAAATACTGTTTTATTGTCATGACATCTCAAGCAGAATATAAAGTGATTTGCTTCCATGAATGTGTTACAGGAAATGGAGCCACCAGAGGAGGTGCAATGAGACCCCAACCAGGTAATACTTGTATACAACAATGTGGTTTTAAACACAGTGACGAGTTTAAATATGATATTGATGTTTTGTAATTTGTTCAATCTCAAGGTTATGGAAATGGAGCTGTTCCCAATGGATATGGAGCTAAACCCAATGGTAACTGATCATATTCCGTGTTAAGGTGTTCTATATGTATATTACTCATGTAGATAAACATTTCAGTGGGATGGTATACACTACTCAAAAAAATGCTAACACTAAAATAACACATCCTGGATCTGAATGAATGAAATAATGTCATTAAATACTCCTTTCTTTACATAGTTGAATGTGCTGACAACAAAATCACTCAAAAATTATCAATGGAAATCAAATTTATCAACCCATGGAGGTCTGGATTTGGAGTCACACTCAAAATCAGTGTCAAGTGGAAAACCACACTACAGGCCGATCCAACTTTGATGTAATGTCCTTAAAACAAGTCAAAATGAGACTCAGTAGTGTGTGTGGCCTCCACGTGCCTGTATGACCTCCCTACAACGCCTGGACATGCTCCTGATGAGGTGGCGGATGGTCTCCTGAGGGATCTCCTCCCAGACCTGGACTAAAGCATCAGCCAACTCCTGGACAGTCTGTGGTGCAACATGGCGTTGGTAGATGGAGCGAGACATGATGTCCCAGATGTGCTCAATTGGATTCAGGTCTGGGGAACGGGAGGGCCAGTCCATAGCATTAGTGCCTTCGTCTTGCAGGAACTGCTGACACACTCCAGCCACATGAAGTCTAGCATTGTCTTGCATTAGGAGGAACCCAGGGCCAACCGCACCAGCATATGAACTCACAAGGGGTCTGAGGATCTCATCTCAGTACCTAATGGCAGTCAGGCTAACTCTGGCGAGCACATGGAGGGCTGTGCGGCCCCCCAAAGAAATGCCACCCCACACCATTACTGAGCCAGCGCCAAACCGGTCATGCTGGAGAATGTTGCAGGCAGCAGAACGTTCTCCACGGCGTCTCCAGACTGTCACATGTGCTCAGTGTGACCTGTTTCATATGTGAAGAGCACAGGGCGCCAGTGGCGAATTTGCCAATCTGCCATTTTGCAGGGCTCTGGCAGTGCTCCTCCTGCTCCTCCTTGCACAAAGGCGGAGGTAGCGGTCCTGCTGCTGGGTTGTTGCCCTCCTACGGCCTCCTCCACGTCTCCTGATGTACTGGCCTGTCTCCTGGTAGCGCCTCCATGCTCTGGACGCTACGCTGACAGACGCAGCTCCTTTATTGGGGGTGTCTTGCTAATTGCCTATAATTTCCACCTGTTGTCTATTCCATTTGCACAACAGCATGTGAAATTGATTGTCAATCATCGTTGCTTCCTAAGTGGACAGTTTGATTTCACAGGAGTGTGATTGACTTGGAGTTACATTGTGTTGTTTAAGTGTTCCCTTTATTTTTTTGAGTAGTGTATTTATGTTATGTTTGACCACAGGTTATGGAGCAGCAGCCGGAGCGGGAGCTGGTGTTCCCAACATCTATGGAACCAAACCCAATGGTGGTAATGCTGTAATAATAGTTAGAGAGTGTGTTTATATTTCAAAAAGGAAAAAAGCACCTCCTAATGAAAACTAATCATGTGCTTTACATTTAGTTGTGGCATGTCTATGCTGCCCTCTGCTGGACAAAACTGAAATATAATACACCTCTTTACTTTGTTTTCTATATTGTGATTTTGCCCAGGAAAATTCATGTCACAATGAAAAAACAGTTAATTCAGTGATTAAAAACAAAAAGCAAAATAACTGTCCTGTTAACATTTATGCCACAATAAATGCATACATAAAAAGGAAATGCATATAACATTTATTTTCTTGTTTAAGCATTTTAAATCTTTAGTCTTTCCATAATTACCAGCCGTGCTTACTTCCTTTTCCTTCGTTTTCTCTCAAGGTAATGGTATTACAAATGGTGCTGCACTCGGTGGGTATGGAAATAAACTCAATGGTAAGTTCCTGCTATCCAATGTCAGATCAAATTAAATTCAAGAGGAGTTATTTATTAATAAGCTCTGAATGTAATTTGTCAAAGTTAATCAATTGTGGGTCAATTTATCTCTACCCTGAAACAGTGTTATTGTAATTACATTTTGACATTTATGAATCATCGAGGGCCGAGCAAAGACTCAAAACTTGTTGGAGCAGGGTCACCCAGTGAAGGTGCTACAATGTTTAACAGTTCTGAATGATATATGTAACACATGCAATGTTTGTGATATCAAAACTGAACCACCCTCCGCTGTGTCATCACACTAGTGAAAGGAAGGAAGGGAATAATGATTTTATGAGCAAACAAAAAAAGCAGAGACAAAAAGATGCATAGAAACTTTGATTTTGTCTGTTTTCCTTTTTGCATTGAACTGTAAATCATGTCTTTATCAAAATGTTCACAGGCTATGGTGTTACTGCTGGAGTATCTAACGGACAGTTGGCAGCCAATACAGGTAAATGCTCCTGTACATGCATATGTTTTGTGTTAGCTTTATCTCTGATCTTCTATGTTCTTAGTGTTTTTTCATAAAAATCTGGTTTGGGTTTTTAGATTACGGCATGATACCAAATGAGAAGGGTATGAAGGGTGCAGGTGTGTCCTATGAAAAGGGCCTAAAAGGTGGAGTTCTCTCTTCTGAGCAGACGAGTGCAACACCAGAGGAGGGTGTCGTACCTCAACAAGCAATAACTCGAGGTGCAGCACCGGTTGCCCCTGAGCCCACGAGTGGCATCCTGGTTATGGTGACACAAGAGAAATATCAAAAGCTGCCTTCACCTGTGCCTCAAGGAAAAAGCTATAAACAGACACCACTAATCCCTCAGGCTACACCAGAACCAGCACCAGCAATTCCTCAAGCCAGAGACCCAATGCCTGCACCTGAACTCACACCAGAGCCAGCACCCATCGGACCACAGGGCAAGGGTCCAAAGGCAGCCACATCTGGACCTGCACCAGACGTTCCTCAGACTATCCCAGCACAAGAGCCGGCAGTAGTCCTCCCTCAAGGCAAGTACTCTGAACTCTGTACAGTGCTTCTGTAGCGGGAACACCATTTTCCCCGCAGTTTGTGGAATCATTTGTGCCACAATATGACTTACAGCTTTGGTTGTTTGACCTGGAATTACTTTTTTCTACAACAAAATCAAATAATAATTTTAATTATTTTTGAATTGACATTAGTTTAGGTGATTAAAGAGTCACAGACATGTAATCTGATGCAACATACTGAATTTATTTCAAATGTAACAAATAATAACAGCTGTTTTAAGTTGAAACTGACAGCTGACAGCTGTCACTGTCGTATGGCCTTAAATGAAAAAAGCCAGTTGCATTTTACTTACTTTCTCACTTATGTTATTTGTTTTAAGAGGATAATGGGTTTGTATCTCAGGGAATGAAAAAAAAAATGGAATTGGCACCTTTCAAATGCCCTCAGTGAGTATCAATATTCTCTGTATCAGGCGTTGTTCAGTATGTTTTGCACTGTTGTAGTAATAACATTGAAACAAAGTAGCAGAAAGTCACTGTGCTAGTTTCATGTATGTAAAAATGAATTGTGCACTGTACATTTGCAAAAATCATCTGACTCTGCATGGTAGTGGCAGTGTTGCCAAATGTGTACAAATGTGTACAATGCATACATCGATAGCAAATGAAATATATTGTAAGAAAACATTCGGCCTGTGGTTTGGTGTTGAAGGGGATGTGCCGAGATAAAACTTTCCATCATGAAGTTTTGGTAATTTCCACGGTATTAATATTCAAAGATAATAGAGAAAGGCTGTTCTTTTTTTTTTTTTAGTAAACTTTTTAGCAACTTTTAATTGAAAAAAAAAATGTTATGACTACCATAGTTACTTGTAGACAGCAGAGTGTCAGTTTTCAGTCACTTATTTGTCAATTTAATGTTTTACAGTATGGCATTAGTCTATAGTTTATAGTATACACATTTTGTAAATGCAAAGACATTTAATTTGGAGGCTTGTCATGTGTTTTTACATGTGCTTTTTATGTTAGCAGTAGCAGTAATGATTTGCAAACATCTAGCAAAATAAATTGTATACATAAATGTTGATAAAATTTATAACCTTTAGGTTATGTGACTGGAAGTGCTGTTTCTGAACAAAAAAGCGCAGAGGCAGATGTTCCTTTTGGTGTAGACGGCACCAGTGAAGGGGATGCTGCCTCTGAAAGCACCAAACCCCTGAAAACCAAAGCTGTTCCTGCAACAGTGGCAGGTAAAAGCACGGGGAGCATCACCCCTGAAGAAATGGTGGCTGTGGGTGTGCCTGAGGTTGCACCAGAAGAAGCAAACATCAAAAGTCAGCCTGAGGCAGGACCTGACAGGCTCGGGGTCAAAGGTCTCTCTGTAGGAGAGACTTGGGCAATTGGTAAAATAAATCTTCATTTGGATGTGTTTACTAGAGTTGGATTGCATGTGTACATGTTGACTGAAACCTGTGCTTGTCCTAACTCTAAGTCTGTTGCAACATGGTGGACATTATGATCTCTCTAATTGTCTTTCACTGCAAGATATGTGTTGTTTAATGGCTAGGATTCAGTCTAACCTGTAATACTTTGGCAATCTAAATGCATTCTCAATGTCAATTTACAGATTATCTACACCCATCAAGGTGAAGTTTGCTTTAATTTGGCAGGTATAATGACATGTAAAGATGGAGAAATGCCAAGTATGAACTTGAGAGTGAATCCTAGCCAGTGCTCATGATTATAATTGTTTTAGCTTTAAAGATTTTTTTGTAATTTTGTTTCTATGTTGCATGTTCTCTTCAGAGTTTTCTCAGAAAATTATCAATAACTTGTGTTCATATGTGTTTACATCTAATGTTTTCTTGTTAAAACCCTCACCCAACTTTGTCATATTTAAATGTCACTTTTAAATACACTTATTTGCTTTCTTGCTGAGAGATTCTACCACTCTGAAATCTTACCAGTAAATATGAAGCTGGAGCCAGGAGATGGTTAGCTTAGCTTAGTGCAAAGAATGGAAACAAGTGGAAACGCTTTCCCTTTCAGTGTACAGATTAAACAAACAAAATATAATGTTAGTGGTGCGTGTAGGTGGATTTCCCAAAAAAACATTCAGAGCAGGTTGAGAATGAAAAAAATTCAAAATGTTCAGACATAGACTTAAAGTATGAAGTGATTTACTTTGTTGTGTGGTCTTTGTGACACATACATGCTAATATATTTCAATTTGGTGCATTCAGTGCATGAGGTACATTTTAAATTTAAGCCACCGTTGTTATTTTTTTAAATTACCATTGTTGATATGATGTTGCAAGTGTAACACTTTAAGGAGAGATTGTACATTGATCATTCAACACTAAGCCCTGATCTGTCAGCCTGTCCCTCTGATTTTCAGAGAATGGAGGAGGACCTTCGATCTCCAAGGGACAGGGAGCTAAAGCAGCCAAACCTGGTAAACATTTGCCTCTTTTCTTGGAGCAATAAACAATCTGAGAACTGAAGTCCAGCCCCACTTCCAGCATGACATTTGTGTAAAATGTGTAATTGGAGATCCCTTTTCATGTATTGCTATCATCAGCTTACATTTTCTTGTTTTTCCCAAACTTGTAAAATGAATGACATTCCCATCATTCTCAGCTTTCCTTTGTGTTTAATGTTACATAGCTAATAGCAGATCTTAGCATGCTAACATGCTAAATGGGTGAACTTGGTAAGCCAAACATCAGCATGCTAGCATTGTTACGTCAGTAAAATTTAAGCACATTGGCATTTTAACAAAAATAAAATAGTAATTTCTTTATGAGCATTTGACTTCTCCCATGTGTTTTTGAGAGTGTGTCATTTGACAAATGGGAGGTGTCATTTACTAAATCAGAGGTGTTGGCCTAAACAAGACTCCAAATATATGATTAACATGGTGCTAATGGTTTCACTTTGTCCAAACCTAATTTTACAGAAACATTACAAAAAAACTAAGTCTGCTTGTTTGGTGGTTGATTGCTCAGTTGTAGCCTACAGTTAGTGTACATATGTGTTTCTTTTGCTTTGAATATTGCTGGTAATACATGTTTGCATTTGTGTCCTAGACTGTAGACCATCAGGAGTACCAAATGGACAATGGATGAAAATACCTAGACCTGGTAAACAGATGCTTGTATTTTAATACCGGTGATTTGTATAGTTTTCAACAACCATTTGTCAAAATGATTACCGTAGTTTCAATGGTCTAATATGTGCATGTTAAAATGCATGTATTTTTACTTTTACTGCATGTCCAATGTAGTTGTTAGGAATTGAGATCGTTTTTAAGTGGTTCAGTTAAATAATGGAGGGAGCTAAAACTTTACATTAACCCGCTGATTGTCTGTAGCACGTATATAGGCCATAAGCCTGCATTAGCTTGGTCACCACCTTGACTTGAATATAATACAGTCAAAGCAGATGATGAAAACTAAGTGTACACATTGTTTTGTCTCTGTCCTTTAAGGTTATAATGAAGGTGCTGGAGCATCCACTGGCACTAACACAAAAGGTACTTGTACACTTGTGACTCAGTTCATGGCGTAGCACCTGTGTATTTTACATAGATGTAACAATATGTATTGTTCATAGTATTTATTTGATTTGTTTTGAGGTTATGGGGCAGGAGCTGGTGTTCCAAACGGATATGGTGCTAAATCCAACGATAAATCTACTTTATTCTTCATTCTCGGTGTATATGAAATGGTCATAACGGAGCATTTTGCAGTAGAGCCTAATATATATTTGATAATTATGTACTGTACATGCAGAGATTACTGTAGGCCTGACAACATTATTTCATTGTTTAGGAAAGGATGCCAGCAAAGGGGGATTAACAAACGGAGGAGGAGCTAAAGCAAGCAAACCAGGTATGGAGTCTGATAAAACCAGTTTGTCTTGTATAAAACGCAATGCATTTGACAATTTTCCTATTCTCTTGTGCTATCAATGTCAGAACATACTGCTGAGACATTAGCATGATCATCTGCTTCAGACCAAGGTCTGCTTATTTGCACATTTAGTACAGCTCAACTGTGACATAAAATTCATAGCTCATGATATCTTCCCTTTGACCTCACACTGTTAACTAAGGCATGGTCTACGGTTTAAAATTCACAAAGTAAAATCCATAATACTCCAATTATACCATTGAGATTTATAGGGTAATTTCTTAATTTTTACTGTACTTTAATTAATTTTCTATGGTGTGAAGGTAAAGATCTTAATGTCTCAATGATGGTTTGTTTATATAAAGGTTATGAAGCAGGAGGCTATGCTGTCCCTGGACTCAGCAATGGATATGGAGATGGTAATATTTATCGTCAATATAAACATACAGTGAGTAATGTGCTTTTATATTAATTAAAATGTGATTTTCAATGTGCCTTTTTGTGTTTTTTGATTGAAGGCCTTGGATATCCTTATACAGGGAAACCTCAGCAACCTGGTGAGTGTTTTCTCTTTCTCTAGTGAAAACATCTCAAGCTCACAGGGAATAGGAATAATTAAAATTTGTGTAATGTCCTGATAATTGTTCTGAATGCCATTAGGTTACCAAGGAGCGTACCTTGGTGCTGGATATGGACATTCATATGGAGGTGCATTTTTAAAGCAATTTGTTTTAATTCAGCTTTTAAGTAGAGCTACAGCTACAGTAGCTTAGTACAGTCTTTTGAGTTTTACTTAAATTCTGCCATTTTTCTCAGGAAATACAGGCCTGGGTGAAACAAGCAAGTCCAAATCAGGTATGCTTTAATGTTTACACTAATTGAATCCATTGGTAGATGATATATTTCCATAGTTGCTGCTGTGTTATTGCAGACCAATTAGCTTGGATCACTGAGGTAGTTTATGATGTGATTTCTGCAGGGAATGGAAATGGCTATAGTGCTGGTGTACAGCCGGACTATGCAAGTAAGCTCCATTATATGAAACTTTATTCAGCAACAATTTAATTTTGTGTGATTTACTGTAAAAGTCAACATTTCTCTTTTTTTCCTCCTAGGTTTTGGCCAAGGTGGATCCGCTGCTAATGGCAAATCAGGTATGATATAGGTGGCAAGTGACACAATTAAAGAGAAATAAAACAAAAGGGTGAAGTAAATTAGAATAACAATACATGGATCATGAAAATAATCCATTACTGTCCAATTTACTGTTGATTCTACAGGTGGCGCCAGACAGATTCCTTACAATGGAGCTCCAGTGGTTCCCGTGGGACTAGATGGTAAGACCTGCTATCTTATAAAAACACTAGTTAAGCATGTATGAACATTAAGTTTTAAACAGTGGGCAGCATGATCCACAGTGAAACAAACACTTGCAAACAGTAAAACTCTTATTGGTACTGGGATTCTGATTCTGACATTGCTCACGATGTGCTTACTCATACAAAAATACAAAATCACTTTAATAAAAAATAATATAAAATCAGACACAGACTTCAGTGTAGACAACATAAATATACACACTATGAACAAAAACAATATAGACATTGACAAATAGAGCAGTGAGCAGAGAAGGAGTATGTACATGTCGGAGGTGGATGTGATATACAGGTACATATACATGCATACATGTACACAGTACAATGAAGCATAGTGCAAAGGATGCTGGAATAAATAAGTATTTTGTGCAGGAGTAATGACTTGAGGTAGGTGGATTGGTATACAGTATCTACAATATGACAATATAACAGTATGAACAGCACTGAAATAGAGAATGGTGAATAAATAAGTGTTAGCCAGTAAACAGGTGGCTGATTAGAGAAAGAGTTACTGGGTTATTGCACAGGAATTGTTCCTGACACCGTGAGTCAAAAATCAGCTGTTCATCAGAGTGATGGCTTGTGGGAAGAAACTGATTGTGCTGAAATAAAAAGGAAACACAACAGTAGCTGAAATCCAAAATGCTGATATGCACAACATTTTGAGCTCAGTGCTGTTCCTCAGGCAGCATTGTATCATTTCAGTTTATTTTGTGCATCTAAAGCATCAATTAAAGGGTTTTTTTCACTCTTTGCCATTGAGGAGCTTTCTGACTTTTCTAACTCATACAATTTATTGTCACACCATCTCAATGTCTCAGGACCAGGTCTGTCAGTGAATACTAATGTGCATGTTAGTAGCATATTTATCTCAAGGTGTAAAAGTCAATAGATATGATAACCAAACCATTTCCTGTGTACTCATGCAGGTGTGAGCCAGTTTGAACCTCAGTCTGCTGGCCTTGCTCCAAATGGAAAACTGAGCAGCATGTATGGTGGTGTGTATAACTTTATTTCTGTCAAACCTTTATTACCACAAGAAACCTCAGTGTCATTTTAGGAGAGCCCTGTTTACAAAATCACCTCAAAAAATAATTATTGAACATGCCACTGTATAGCATAACATGAACTTAAGTTTTTTTTTTTTAAATGCAACACATTAGAGGCAAAACTTTCTCCAATGTTACAGGAATGGGCGACTTGCCTTTTGGCGGTCAGCCGCTGGGAATGGGCTCAGAGAAATTGAACACCAAGTACGGTGAGTGCTTGTTGGTGGTATTCTATCACTCCACTATCATGAAGATTGGAAAGAAAGAGGGAGTTTAATTTATAGCTGCATGAGTTTAAAGCAAAGTGATGTGCATACCTTAAAATTCTCAAAGAAAGTTTCTCATTATTTGTGTGCCAACTGACATCATAATCTGCTCACTCTGATTTAGGCATTGGTGGGTTGCAATTTGGTGGACAACCCCTCAGTACAGGGACTAATGGCGCAGGACATTATGGTATGTGTATGTTATGTTATTATTGTATTACTGTCCTTTTAGACTGTTAATGTTGACACTGCATGTAGGTCTTGAGTCCATGTGTGTCCCAACTATTGGTCTCAATTCTGTCCAGGATATGGTGGAAGCCCCTATGGTGACAGCAAATCATCTAGAAAATATGGTGAGTCATTAGACTTGGGCAGTCATGAAAACAAGTTGCATCTCAGAATGTGCACTACTTTTAGTACCTTTTTTAGTGTGTTTGTATTTGCGTCTTAAGTGAGAATCAAACCAACTAATCCTGGCATGTTGATACATTGCTCCATACACTGAGCTACAAAGGTTTTATATCTAACTTCAGATATTAATGATGATATTAATTCAAAATACTTGCAGGTGGTCATGGTGCCGGCAGAGGAGTAATATATGCACATCCACAGCAGTGCTGTCATAGGAGCAGCATTGCTCCAATGAAGATAGTTTATTTCTGTTTACCATTTTTATAATTTCCTTCAGATTAATGTATATTGTCTGCTATGTTGCAGAAGGGAGTTAAAAACTCAATTTCACTCTATAACCTGTTGTATTGTGACAAAATAAATCTATCTTCCTACCTACCTACATGATCACGGGACAAGCTTTTTGCTGTGGCTAATAGTTTGTCTTCACTGTAGCCAGATGAGAAATGCAGACACTGATAGGCTGATTAAATTAAACCCACTATCTACACTTGACTGTGAAAAGGCTTCGTATGATCGTCCATTTTGAGAGGTCGTGAGATCACTTTTAAACTGTTTTCCCTCCGCCTCTGCTCAGGATATGGTGGTTTCCCCACTGGTGGGCTGCTTCTTGGTCTTGGCAAAAATGGAAATACAGCTGGCAAATATGGTGAATAAATACCTTTGGTATCTCTTGCTGTGATTTGCTTGATACACACACAAAATCATTGTCCTGTAAAAGTTTGCCCCTTTAACTTTGTGTTATTTCTCTTCTTCCTCTTTTTCTCCATGTCTTCTACAGGTTATGGAAGAATGCCTTATGAAGCTCAGCCAGCTGGACTGGGCCCTGAAGCCAAATCTACTGGCACGTATGGTAAAAACTTTAATGGAAATGTTTGATATTTTGGGAAATTCTCTTATTAACTTTCTGGTATGGTAAATATGAAGCTACCGCCAGCAGCCAGCTAATTTAGCTTAGCAGAAAGAGTGAAAACTGGGAGAAACAACTAGTCTGGCTCTGTCCAAAGGGATCGAAATCCGCCTACAGCAGCTCTTAAGCTCACTAAATAACACTTAACTTTTTTTTTTTTTAACTTGTTTCTTATGTACAAAAACCTGATGTAAAAAACTTTTACGGGGGGCTATGCACTCGACTATTTCGTGGTTGGAGCCCCTTTTCTGGCAACCAGTAGAGACTCCAGGAAGTTACTTCTCTCAATCAAAAATATTTCAGCGAATGGTTGTGTTTACAGTCTTTATGTTAAGCTAAGTTAGCCAATTGCTGGCAGTAGCTTCCTATTTAGCATACAGATATGAGAATGGTATACCTCCCAAAATGTCTGTTTTGTAGACAGACATACTCAAGCCAGTGAACACAGCATGTATGCATTTAACATTTTATCTTGTTGTTTTATTTATTTAATTACATATTTTCTTTCAGATCTTGCCGGGTCACCATATCAGCCTGAACCTCTTGGACTTGCACAGAATGGCAAATATGGTGAGATTCAGCTAACATGACTGCTGCTTTGTTAATTTCATTTATTTGTTTGTTTATTGTTGGTTTAATTGTCATCTCTATGTGGTTGCCACCTGCTAAGGTGGTGGTGACGTTCCCTATGCACCACAAGCTCTTGGTTTTGGGAGTGAAGCAAAATCTTCTGGGATATATGGTACAGTGCAACCTTTTATGTGTTCTTTTCATAACAATTATTCTTTTCCTTTTTCTACATGTTTACTAAATGGTTTCACATTAATCTCTCAACAGATAACCATGGACGATTCCAATCCCAGCCTCTTGAATCTGTATCTGAAGGCAGAGCTGGTGGAGAATTTGGTATTTTATCATTATTGCTACCAATTATCTGACCAGTTGGGTTAGAAATATACAAATCACACATAATACATTTATGTCTTTTTTACCTTAAACAGATACAGCTGGTTTACCTTATGACCCCTTGCCTCTTGAGCCAGATACAGCTGGAAAATCCTATGGTGCGTCAGGTACAGAGCCTCACAAATATACTGCAGGCCCCAAGCTTTTCTTCTTATCTTATCTTTTTCTTATCTTGATCTCTTAGTGAAGGGAGAAGTACCAACTCCAGCAATTGAAGTCGAAGGCGAGGGGATGCCCATTGATAGATACAGTAAGTTATAGTGTGTATTTCTGCATGGTTGTCTTGTGGCTCCACTGTATTCAGGTAGTTTTTCACTGTTTGTCGCTTTCAGATAACGTGGGCTATATAAATGGACAAGTGAAGCCAGAAGGTAAAACCAGGAAAACTGGTTTCATCCAAACATTTTGATTGCATACATAGTGCAGACAATGACAACATTGAAATCTTACAGTAACACAATACGCTTATTTTACCCTCTATCCTGTCTGCCTTTTCTGCTCTCTCTCCCCAGTTGTTGCATTTCCTGCAGCTCCCACTCACAGCTCCTCCCTGGCCTACCCCTCTGTCCCATCCTACCTGCCTGTGGAGTCCTCCTTCACACCCGATGTGGTGCTGGAAGCAGGAGGTGAGGACCTGTCCGATCCCACGGGCACTGCTAGGCTCGCCTTTGACTCTGCGCCTGCTACAGAAAGGCAGGGTGGGGCTCAAGTGCCTGAAGAACCTGATGATCTGCTTCAGCAGCAGCTGCCACGTCAGATACACATTCAGCAGCATCTCAAACTGCATTTTCATCAACAAGACAAGTCTGGGCGAGGTAAAAGCACTGCTACCTAAATGATCTAGACACCAACAAAGTGTTTAACTGTGTGAATCAGCTAACCTGACCACAGGTAACAAGACTACCGGAACCTCTTAAGCTCATTAAATAAAAATTGTTTAATCCGTCCAAAAACCAAATTGTATGAATGACAAGTGGTTGTACACGCCAGGCTAGCTGTTTCTCCCTGTTTCCAGTCTTTATGTTAAGCTAACAGCCTCCAGCTATTGGGTAAGCATTTCAGCAGAAAACATTAGTTATAGACTCTTAAGCTCTTGGTAATTTGATGAGACAACTGTGAAGATAGCATGCAACACAGAAACAAACCATTGTGGGGTAATCTTTTTTTATAGGGTGGCATTTGGACTTCATAACTTGGGATAAATAAATAGTTGATTTACCTGTATTTTAAAGTTCTATTGTATAAAGGATATATCTAACATTATGAAAAACATATTGCTCGATCTCAGGCACCCATATTGTATTAAATTTACATATATTAACAGCATGTGACATGCAGGACATGTCCACCCTGTTAAGGACTTAGACATAACTGTTTAAAAGTGTTTTCAGGACATGATTGCTACTAAAATTACATTTTTATATAAATCATATGTTCCTCACTCTTATCAGATATTTGTTTTACAATAAAATAATTTTTAAACAGCATAGGCTAGACCCATATTGAGAAAACAAGCACACATTATAAAAAGGGGAACGTATACACAAATATACACTTAATATTTGGTCATTTCAATAAACTATGAAGGAAAAATACCAACATAACAGTGGACAGGGGTCCAACAGGGTGGACAGTAGCTCTACAGAATTTTGTAATCATGACTACTGGCTGGGATTCACTCTCAAGGTAACTCCATCTGCACATGTCATTATACCTGCAGTAGCTATATAGGAAATCCACCTTAAATGTCTGGAAAGTCTGTAAATATTGAAAAAGCCAATTTAGCAATAGCCAGGCTAGCCATTTCCCCCCGCTTCCACTCTTCCACTATGTTCTTAAAGCTTCATATTTTACAAACAAGAGTGGTATCAATCGTCTCATTAAGCTCTCGGCAAGAAAGTAAATATGTGTATTTCCCAAAAATTTAACTATTCCTTTAAGTTAACCATGCCAAACATTAAAATCTGGGCAGAGGTGGTATGTGATTTGAAATAATATGTAATGTGATGTATAAAAGTGTATGTTATGTATAAAAGTTGTTTAAATTTGTTTTTCCATTGTTTCTTTTCCGTATCTTCAGGAGCAAAGAATGGCAAATATGATGTGAATGGCTTCTTTGGAAATAGTGGCTATCAAGGTTAAAAAAATAAATAAATACATAATTTTCAGTTTGCTGTATTTGTCTTAACCACCCCACTCATCTTTGTACTGCATTCTTTTCTCCGCACAGGTTAACACTGCTGACAACGACAAGTATAATCTTCATTTCTGCCGTTGTATATTATTTTTGACTGTTCACTATTTTTATAATTTACTTCTGTCTAAAAGTGATGTTTTTTGTGTTTGTAAGTCTAGCGATAAAACAACATTTAAACATTTTGAGTTGTTAGGTTTTCTGTTTATGTATATTTTTAATCTGCCTTACCTTGTCCTGCACTTACTGTTCACTGTACATGCAAACAATTGGTTGCTGGAGTTTGTGTCATGCATACGGTCAGTGTTTTTGATTGAATCAGTCAGTTTTTCTGACGTTATCAACTCTAATTAATCCTGTAAAACGTAATTCAGTCTAATTTATTTTGCATGGGAAAGGGTTTTTTACTACTTGTAGCAATCATGAGTTTATTATTGTACAGTATCTTATTGAATAAAACCATCAATAAACACCAACAGTGGAAACTTGTGCTTCACTTGTTTGTGTTTGTACACATTTAGTATGTTACATAATAGGCAATACCAATTAATATGTTTAAATGGACATGAGGAGGAATTATCAGTGCCAGTGAATCTGTGTCATTAAGGAAAGCAACCACCTCTTAAAGTGTTGTACTCCCCAGATTATCCTGACTGCAGCACAGTTACATATGTACATGAGGAATAGGAACATGCATGTAGTCCAAAATTAGGGAAATGCAGAATCTATCTATATTCAGCACAACGTGAGGTGTGAGGCGGTTATGAGCCTTGACAAGGAGCAGCTGCCATAGTGCACATGGCTTTTTGTGAGGATTGCCCCAGCTTAGGGATAAGAGCCCTTTGCTGATTGGTCATACCGAAAGCATGCCACTTGCCCAGCTCAACAGGTTGCTTGCATGCAATTACACCTGTCCAACGATGGATTTCAAGGAGAAGAATTTCCGGCTGGTCATTGTCATGACCGTGCCACAGTGTGGCCTCTTTTAGGATGTAAATGGTGAGGAAGCTGTACTGTCGACTAAATGTGAGGGCAGCGGCTGTGGGAACTCATCATGGTGCTTTACAAAGGACCGCGGCTGTTGGACTTTGCAAAGACCCCTACACACCTTCAGTTCAACAAATATGTCCTGACAGGTTACCGGCCGGTGTCCACGGCGCAAGAGTGCCTCAGGAGCCTCTTCTACATGCACAATGAACTGGGGAACATTTACACTCATGGTAAGTCCAGAAAATAACTTTCAATTTGCTTTCAATAGCTATTAGTCATCTGTCATTCTGGACAATTGTAAACATGTTTGTAAAGGTGTTTTTTAACAGCATCTGAATTATCTCATTAAAATATATCTTTACAGTTAAAAACACAAAGCAAATGTTTCTTTTCCTTGTATCGATTTAACCCATAAAGGGGGGTCAAACAAAGCAGGTCACTCTCACTCTCACTTATGGCCAGTTACAAGCCTACTTGACAAGGGTGTGTAATGAGGATGTGGGGTATTAGTTTTAATCTGTCCTGGGAATCCCTGGAAATATCCTACGGTTATCTAGGTCTTTAAAGGTGTGAGGTTAGGTGAACCTTTTCATCTGTAAATGGCCATGTGTATGGGCAATGCATCCTGCAGATACAAATGTTTGCTTAGATGGCAAGCAGGTGCAGGATTACAGTATGTTAACATATTTCGTTTGACAAATTCAAACCTGACTGCTGACTGAGTTGTGCAAACAGAAGAAAAGATGAGAATTGAACTGTGCATGAGCTGAAACCCGCACAGCCTTGAACATCCGAAGGCATCGTCTTAACGCTCCATTTTCTCCTTGGTTATCCCATAAGTTCATTAAGACTAAAACTCTTACTAAGGGGAAGTGAAGGGTATTAGCTTCAGAGCGTTAGTCAGGTTTCCCAAAGCATGTAGCCAACAGCCGTACTGTCACATTGTTCTTAGTAAAGAAACAGAGGAACTTCAAACTGTTAAATTCCTCTAATTGCTCTGCCTAAAGTGATATTTAACTGCACCTGCTCGCTATAAAAACAGACGTTATTAACCTCCTACACAGGTACCAGCCTGACAAAGCCTAACTAAAACTTTTGTATATACTGAAGAAATAATTGTCACTATTACAATAAAATACTAAAAGGTAGTGGTTTATAACTAGAGGTCTTTCTAAAGCACTCGCACACATCTGTAGGTTTAAAACATTTGTAGGTTTAAAACATTTCATTTCTTCATTCATATCATCTCTCCTATCCTCTTTCCCTTTCCAACTCCTTATCTTCTGGTCACCACAGGCATCCCCTTTTTCCTTTTCTTGGTGCTGCTGCCTTTTAGTATCCCCTGGATGGAGGTGGACAGTGTCTGGATCTGTGTGGTTCACTACCTGGCTTGCCTCTGTCCCACTGTGGGCTCGGTGGTCTACCATGTGTTCATGAACCATGTGGGAGGAGAACATGTTTATGACACTCTGCTCTCTCTGGACATGTTCGGGGTCTGCTTAGTCAACACCCTGGGTAGGTTGATGATGCTAATTGGCTCTGCTGTCTTCTATCTGAATTCTCCGATTTCTCACTAATCAGATGTTTTCAAGTCTAACAAATTAATCTTAACTCAAGGTCCACTTACTACATTTTTCTGGAGCTTTAAGCCACACCTCACAGTCTTTCTCAGCGTATGGAGATGGCTCAGGTGTCATTACATGCCAACTCAAAATGCCAGATAGAAAAATGCTAGTAAGTGGACCTTGAGTTAGGTTTTGTCAGACTACTATTTTTAAAGTCTGAACTCATCTACGTTTTTGAGTCGTTTGGATCCAAGTCAAGTCTTATGTCTTCATAACCAAATTACAAATGTTTCAACTCTCTCAAATTCTGACCAATAAAATGCCAAGACATCTGAACATTTTCCTTTCAAAGCATCTAAACAAAATAGTTTGACATTTTGAGAAATATGCTTATTCACTTTCTTGGCTCTTTCTTGACTTGGATGAGAAGATCACTACCACTCTCATATCTCACCATTAATTCTGAAGCTGGAGCCAGGGGATGGTTAGACTGGAAACAACAGGAAACAGCTAGCCTGGCCTCTGTCCAAAGGTGAACACCTACCAGCACCTCTAAAGCTCACTAATTAACAAGCTTCTTCTTGTTTTTTTAATCCGTACAAAACACTAAGTGTATATACAACAAATTTGCGTTTTACCGAACTGCTTCTTGGCTGGGAGCAGTGACTTCCCGAGGTCTTGTGGCCAACATTGACAAGCAGCCAGTGCGGGACTCCAAAAAGTCAATGCTTTTGGCCAATAAATAGTCCAGCTTGTTTTTTTGTTTGTTTTAAAAAAAAAAAAAATTATTTTAGACAGAGCAAGGTTAGCGATTTCCCCGTTTCCAGTCTTTATGCTAAGCTAAGCTAATTGGCTGTAAGTCTATAATTACCAGACAGCATTATTGTTTTTTTATTTTCATTATTTCCAGAGAAGGCCCGAAGTTTTAAAGGCTCAATGATTTTAGTCTTATATCAAGTCTCAGTAAAACCGCAAGCCAGTGATTTTAGTGACTCCAGTACAAGTCTCAGGTCTACACTTCTTAAAATAAACCCTGACAACAACCAAGTCGGTAACATCTGACTTAGTTTTAGTGACATTGCTGTCTTTCCTCTTGTCACCAGGAGCACTCCCCATCATCCACATCACCCTTCTTTGCTACCCGGCCATAAGAAGGGCTGCCTTGCTGGCCTACATCCTCCTATCAGCCCACGGCATCTACTATGCCACCACGGCCCGTTCTAACATTCACCGCCTGCGAGCTTTCATCTGGCAGGGCCTGTTCCGCTTCAGCCTCTTCCTGTTCCGGGTGTACGGCAGCGGGGTGGGCAGCCCAAACTCCCTGCGCCTCTTTGTCATCATGGACTGTCTGGCTGTTATAGGAGGGCTGGTCAACATAATCCAGATCCCTGAGCGCTTCATCCCAGGCTTCTTTGACAACTGGGGCAACAGCCACCAGATCATGCATGTCATGGTTATTTGCTCAATTATCTACCTGCACTGGGGCACGCTGGAGGATTTAGACTGGATTAAGACCTACCAGTGTAATGCTGAGTGATACCAGGTGTATCATGTACGCACATGCATGCACTCATTACTAGGCTATGTGCTTTGCTGATAGAAATGAGATTTAGGATTGAATGTGGCAGGTCGAGTAAAAGTATAAAGAAAAGGGAGGCAAGTTGTTTCAAAATGCACTTTAGCATGCTTGCTGCTGAAATTCTTCACAAGGAACGTTTGCAATTAATTACCACTATATGAAAGTGAAAATCCTGAGCATACTTGATATTTAGTGCAGTAGTTTGGGGTCATATTACCCATAACCAAAATTGTTTTTAAATAAAAAATTTAATAAATGTAATAAATTATATATTTTTATATCTTCCTCCAGCTTGGATTTCATTCATGTACGATGAAATGGTTTGTGACAAAGTGAAATAATGCAAATGGTTGAATGCTTCTGTTTAATTGCTAGAGAGGTAAATTTTATATACACTTAAATCGAAAAATCAACGTTTTTTTCTATTTAGTCAAAATTATAACTGTTTTCATTTGGACTTGGCAAATAATTATACATTCCTTTTCATTGGCAATCTTATGAACTTATAAGAATGCTTAACTTGCACATTTCAAAGACACTGTCACCTTCAAACCTTCCTCCCCCCAAAAATATGCATCAAATTATCTGAGATTATGGCCACTTTAAGAAAACAGGTGTGTAGATTAGACTTGAAAGAGGTGTGGATGTTGCAGAGGTGGACTATGTAGACCACATATTATCTGCAACACTGGACGACCTTCCTCTTGTTTTCTGCCAAAAAGAGCTCCGTGGATCAGTCTTCATTTGAGCTGCTGTCGTCCTCAGCCTCTGATAGGTCGGCAATGGGAAACCGCAAGACGGCAGCCACTCCACTCAGCTGAGTCAGTTCTAAAGAGACAGTCAAGGATAAATCAAAAGAGGACAGTGCACAGTGGGAACATCAGGCTGATTGCACACAGCAAAGAAGTGCAAAAAGCACAACTGTAGTTGAGCAACTGCCTCTGTCCATTCCTGACTTCTTAAACTGAGAACGTCATTATAGGCATGTTGATTAAGTCAGGGCCTTAATCAACATGCTGAATTGACACCAGTAAATTCCTCCTACAGTCGCAGCCATCAAACATTTACAGTTCAGACCTGACGTATGTTAGCATTACTTTACTCACACTGGTCACTACAAGTTAGCCAGAAATATGTAACAAACCCTACGGAGTTGCACTCAAGGTACCTTGTGGAGATTTTAACCACTAGTAGCGCCATGGAGCAATGTTTTGTGGGTGGGTCCCTGTTTGTTTTTATCATGCAGCATAATGCAAAATCTGTTATTCTGTTGAATAACTGTTGGTAGTGGTGAGAAGAGTAGCAATGCGCCCCCAACGTGTTTTAATAGAGCCTCGATTTCAACCCAGTGGATGTAGAGATATTGTGCATGTCTACAAGTTAACACAAAGTTTTATTCAGTGTTGTCCATTAATTCATCATTTACCATTGGTGAAATCTGACTGTGTATTAAGCTGTAGCCTAAATTACATTTTAAATATATTTGTTCAGCTTTAATCTGACGACAAAAAAAGTGACAAAAACAGGGGCCAGCAACTGAAAATGAAAATATACAGATCAAAGATATAAAGACATGACTGTAGGCTCACAATCTGATCCAGTAATAATGTGTTTGGTAATTTGCACTTGAAAATGTGTTGAGGTTAAAAATAGATTTTAAATCTTTAGACATCCATTTGGATCTTGGCTCAATAGCATTCAGTAGCTTTATTTAATCTACTTCAACAAATGTAGTAAATTTAAACAGTCAGAGAAATGCTGGTAAAAAACTATTTGCAGACTATTTAAAAATAACTCACTATGTTCTGCAGCTCCACCACGATCCTGCTTACTCACATATAATCTCCACTATTGGTTATCAGCGCGACCAATCACATCATGAGTGGCAGAGATAATTATCCATTGATCAAACGTGTCTAAAGCTTCATACAGATTTTTTTTTATTTAAACAGAGATCTTGTGTCACAGTTTAATTAAAAGAAGGGCATGCAGGTTTTATTCTGAACTGAGAGTGACTTGATGCTGTGTAATATTTGAATGTGAGGACCGGTGTGAAAGGACTGATCTGACGCATAATATCTGTAACTTTAGTCCTGGGTAACAAACTAATATCCAACCAGGATTTAGATTCTGACACACAGTAAACCTCTGCTAACGAATTTGCTTCGATTCGGACTGGATCAATGAGGACATGAAACAACATGTCTGGCTCTGTAAGGGGGAGGACACGGAGAGAAACTCAGCCAGCGAGCAGGTCAGTTACCTAGAGTTTAAACTTACTTCTCTTTCTGGAATGGAAAACCCAGAGTTTCCCTCAGTTTAGCCTTAACTAACTCAGAGTTTTCACTAGACCTGCTTTCTGGAATAAACCCCAGATGTTCTTTAAAAAATGTCCTTTTAAAAGTAGAATTGATAAAAACAGAACGGTTTCATAACTTACGTTCACCAGACACATGGAGGCTGGAGAATATTCTGCATGAAAGAAAGCGAGAGAAAACTCATCAGCTGGATGCTTGGCATAGCACATTCTGCCAATTCCTGGTGAACGTTAACACAGTCAGTCTTTTAAAGGATAATTGGTACCTGACATTGCCGCCATTGTCTCTCACGTTGTCCACCAACCGAACGTAACGACTCCTCGTGGCAATTTCCTGATGTCTGGACGTACACGTGGAGAAAAACAAAGCATGTATTGATACACAAAGCAGATGTGACTTTGTTTATATCACTAACAGTCCCTTGTCTGATAAGTTTAAAGCCAATAGAGATGTAGGAATAGGTGAAGGAAATAGGAGTGCAACTTTCATATGTTATACTATATTTTAAATTATTCTGGTGGCATCAAAGTTTTTGATTATAACAAAAATGAGACAACCCAGGGGAACTGTTGATTGGTTGCTAGCAGCTAAGCATAAATTCACCTGCACTGCATGTTTGTAAAAGATAACCTAAAGATCTGTGCCAGAAAACATTCAGTATCTCTCCGTATGTACCTGAAAAGCTTATCGCTTATCAACAAGGTATCAATGGCGAGGGCATCAGCAGCTTTCTCCACATGAGCCAGTCTGTGAGGATGCAAATGTTGATTATCAGTGTGAATGAATGAGGGCTCTGTGCATCTTGCTGGCTCTTCATGTGCATCATTGCTCACCCATAGAAGGCTCTGTCAGGCTCATGCTGCAGCATCTTATAGAAATCTTCAAGGGCTTTCACCTCTCCTGCTGCCTGAAAGTTACACACAATTACCAGTTAGCCACCTTTTTCGCTGTGAGAGTGTTTGTTTACAGGATGAATAAAACAAGCTGAAAAATCACAGGAAGCATATTCACCTTGGTATCAGAAAGTCTACTTGTGACAGTGGGATCAGAGAGGATTTCTGCAAAACAAAAAGACGTTTTTGTTGTTGTGCAAGTTTTCACCTTGTGAGGAGACTTGTTTGTTTTAAACTGAGCCAACCAGCTCCTACCTTTGAGTGAGTACTTATGGCCTGATGACGAGTGGACCAGCATGAATTTGGGTCGATTCTCCAGCAGGATCTTGTTGTCCTGTCGCACCGCCTCTTTAAAGAGGTAGGTGATGAATTGGTCCTTCACAAACCCTGGACTGGCAACCAGGATGCACTTCACCACTAGTAGAAGGCAATAATAAGAAATCAACTAAGTTTTTCCTAACGTTTAATTGAATTTCTTTAAACAGAAAAAAAACAAGCAAAGATTATGATGCAACAATAATAAACTACAATGGTGCCGTAAAAATGACACACAGAGGCTTACAGCAAAACAACAAATGTGACAGGAACAACTAATTAAAAAAGGGAGAAGCGTGTGACACAAAACAGGAATCATAGGTCATCCAGGTCATAGTTATCCAACGAAGGTTAAAGTCAAGGGCAACTGCACATGGTTGAAAATACTGGAAGACGTTTTGTCCCTCATCCAAGGGACTTCTTCAGTTCTGTATGAATGTGTAAGTGTGTCATGGGTCTGCACAGCAACACTACCATCAAAATTAATGTGGCGAAGGATTGCCTGCATCACAGCCTCATAGAACCTCTCCAGCGCCTGCAAACCAAAAGACAGACAGTTTGACATCAGCCTACATGACAAACACACCAGGTCCCAATACTGAGGGACTGTGACATCCAGTCACTGTATGAACCACCAAATTTAAGTCAGCGAGTTTGTCTTACACTCATGATTAAACAAAAAGTGTATTATGCATTAACAAACACACTTAAACACACACACTCTGACTCTTGATGCTTATTCTTTGTCGAGCTGGCCATCTTCATATTTCCTCTCCTTTGCTTTGAAAGTCCTGAGCTCATTACGGTTATGCAGTCACAGACAGCTGACCTACCTTCTCATGCTGAGTGCAGCTTCCCTTTCTCTTGCGAGGAATGGTGACCTCCACTTTAGCACGAAGCAGCGTCATGGCGGGGGTCACCAGCACCAGGTTGGCCAGACCCTCCTGCATTACCACAGCTGCCACGTCTGCCTTCTGGGTTGCATCACATGCCTGCTCTAAAGGGCAAACAAGGCGACGATTAATGAACCTCATGAGGTAGTGGGTATTTTGTGAAGTTATCAACAAATGTGTTTTTAATAATTTTATATTACTGGTGAATGGATAATACTTTGTGCCTGAAGTTCAGTTGAGCACTTTCTACTTAAATCTAAGTTACTGTGGTGAAAATTACAGCAGCAATGACTCAGTGGCCCTCCACTCCTTCAAATACACAAACCCCATCTGTCAGTTAGGCGCTTCGCTCCTGTTTCTCCCTATTTTGTTCCCATGGTAACACACTCTCTTTGTTGGTCAAAATAAATTAACAAGAAGACTGTGTTTTTCTGTAAAGGAAAACCAGCTAAAATGACACTGTCAGTCAGGCAATGCTGACAAAATAAGCTTTTCATATACACTCACCTAAAGGATTATTAGGAACACCATACTAATAATGTGTTTGACCCCCTTTCGCCTTCAGAACTGCCTTAATTCTATGTGGCATTGATTCAACAAGGTGCTGAAAGCATTCTTTAGAAATGTTGGCCCATATTGATAGGATAGCATCTTGCAGTTGATGGAGATTTGTGGGATGCACATCCAGGGCACGAAGCTCCCGTTCCACCACATCCCAAAGATGCTCTATTGGGTTGAGATCTGGTGACTGTGGGGGCCATTTTAGTACAGTGAACTCATTGTCATGTTCAAGAAACCAATTTGAAATGATTGGAGCTTTGTGACATGGTGCATTATCCTGCTGGAAGTAGCCATCAGAGGATGGGTACATGGTGGCCATAAAGGGATGGACATGGTCAGAAACAATACTCAGGTAGGCCGTGGCATTTAAACTATGCCCAATTGGCAGTAAGGGGCCTAAAGTGTGCCAAGAAAACATCCCCCACACCATCACACCACCACCACCAGCCTGCACAGTGGTAACAAGGCATGATGGATCCATGTTCTCATTCTGTTTACGCCAAATTCTGACTCTACCATCTGAATGTCTCAACAGAAATCGAGACTCATCAGACCAGGCAACATTTTTCCAGTCTTCAACTGTCCAATTTTGTGGGGAGCTCTTGCAAATTGTAGCCTCTTTTTCCTATTTGTAGTGGAGATGAGTGGTACCCGGTGGGGTCTTCTGCTGTTGTAGCCCATCCGCCTCAAGGTTGTGCGTGTTGTGGCTTCACAAATGCTTTGCTGCATACCTCGGTTGTAACGAGTGGTTATTTCAGTCAAAGTTGCTCTTCTATCGGCTTGAATCAGTCGGCCCATTCTCCTCTGACCTCTAGCATCAACAAGGCATTTTTGCCCACAGGACTGCCGCATACTGGATGTTTTTCCCTTTTCACACCATTCTTTGTAAACCCTAGAAATGGTTGTGCGTGAAAATCCCAGTAACTGAGCAGATTGTGAAATACTCAGACCGGCCCGTCTGGCACCAACAACCATGCCACGCTCAAAATTGCTTAAATCACCTTTCTTTCCCATTCTGACATTCAGTTTGGAGTTCAGGAGATTGTCTTGACCAGGACCACACCCCTAAATGCATTGAAGCAACTGCCATGTGATTGGTTGATTAGATAATTGCATTAATGAGAAATTGAACAGGTGTTCCTAATAATCCTTTAGGTGAGTGTACACATCTAAGTCATGATTATTCGTATCTGGAGCAAGTCATTATGACCTTCAGTTAAAACAAGTAAGACAGTAACTGTCATAAAAAGAGTCAAAACAAAAGAACAGCCTACATGTAATCTGATATTCCTCAAGGAAAGGAATTGAAATAACTTGTAAAAAGGCAAACAATGTTCACTTTTAAAAATGTTCAACCTTAAGCGCTTTTTTGACATTTGGACTCCCTGTGTAGTTTTAACGCTGCCTCACTTCATAATACCTTGTTTGACAGAAAGAGGCAACAATTGGTGTTTTGTGGGAGTGAAAACATGTGAATCTATCTGGCAGAGTGCTTCAGTTGTCCAAGATTACAGTGGTTAATAACAGTATTAAAACTAAACGTATTGTTCCGGAACAGTCCATGTGGAAAGTAACCCAGAGTCATCAAAACAAGAAAACTTCACCAAATATGGGATACGAACTCAAAAGTTTGTTTCTATAGTTTGGCTCATTTGGTCAGTAGAGAAAAATGCTATTTACACTTGGGTGCTCATCAAATAACTGGCTGAAGTGTATATCGTAGTCCTCTTTCAAAAGAACTGTTGGCTATGTCAGGAGTGTAAGCAAATCTGAACTGAATGACCAAAGCATGCAGTTTTGTGGGTATAAGGAAATACATGCTAAGATTTTGACAGCTGAGTAGGGAGTTGCTTAAACCCATGAAATTCTGTTTGGTAAACAACATACTTGTGACTGATTACTGTTTACAAGTCTTGGTTGACGTGCAAGTGAGAAGTGGGAGCTTAAATGAACCAAACACAAGAAAGAAACAAAGTGTTATTTTCTGCTGTGTTGTAATCTCAGTCAAATGTAAACAGAAGAGCCCGCTTACCGATCCTATCCAGCACAACACTGTCCCAGCTCTTTTTAGCTAGAGTGAACTTCCTGTTGAGCTCAAGCTCAATAGTGTGGTAAGCCCCCATCTGATGAGTGAAGAACAGAGCATAATCACAACTACTTATATCAAACAGGAGTTAATGTTAAGACAAAATGCTGAGTAAGGCTGGGAAATGACAAAAAAATAACTGCAGCAAAACACCATCATAGATCTTTGTGTAGAAAAAAGAATAATGTCACACTGTAAATCTTTAACATACAATTCTGCTTATGTGAAAAACACATAAAGTACACTCTATATAGTACATATTGCCTGGCCACAGTGACCAGCCTGCATAAAAACCCTTTTACAGTTAAATACACTTACTGTGTCTCACCTGGATAAACATTTTAAATGTTAAAAAGCTTATTAATTTGTTTTGATGATTAGATCTCAGAACAAATGAAACTGACTTTCTGTGCAACTAACAAAAACTGACCTCTTAGACACCATCTACGAGTATAATAACCTCCAATTACTCCTAAAATCTTAATTTCAATCCTTGCTTCCCTAATTGTATTACTCTAGTCTCTCAGCTCCGCTTTAACAATTCTATGTAAATGTGACATGACTCCATTTGGCAAGTTGCTTAGAAATCTCAGACCTTGACATACTGGTTCTCCTCTAGGTTAGTGCCCTTTACTCTCAGCTGGCAGGCCTGGGAGTCAAAGTCGATGGTCTCCACACTTAAGGTTAGAGTAGTCCGAACTCTGGAGCTACCCACACTTCCAGTAGGGGATTCTGTCTGCACCTTCCTATGTGAACAGGAGAAAGGGACTTTACTTCTGTGTCTGTTTTTGAGATCAAAACACTGAGTGATACAAAGTCAGAAAATGTGAGAGATAATGTTGGAAACCTGAACAACAAGCACCATCATTTCCAAACACAGACTCAGTCTGAGTCAACTCATGTAGCTGGCTGCATGGATTGCATTGGGTGTGTATCAAATCTGATCAGTGGCTGTAATGAGGGTGGATGGAAGCTAAACTTTGAGTAGCTTTACTTGATACAATACAAATGCATACCGTGGCAAGAGTGGAAGATTTTAATCCTTACCAGCTAATGGAATAACAAATGACTGACAAATGAAACAGGCCCAGAAAGATGCTGCATTGGCAATTCTGCAGTGCTACAACATATAAAAGCCACCATCCTTCTCTATGGGGCTGAAAAACTGCCACATAGTTGGGTGTGGGCACTACAGTGCTTCAACTGTCACATTTATGTGTTATAAGTTAGTAGTTACCTGATAGTGGAGGCTCTCAGGCTGTCCCCCACTTGCAGCAGGTTGTAGGTGTGCCACATATCCTCCGCCTCCTCTGGTATCAGAGTCACCTGACTGAAGGAGAGTAGCAATCAGTATGCCAGGCTCTGAGTTGGTGTCACTAATGTTAGTGATTAATCAGGTGTTAAAACTGTGGATATGCTTTTACTTTAAGATCTCAAGCCATTTTGGGGGGCAATGACACAGATGTTGCAATGACGCAGGAGCACCATACACGTTGCTCCAGTAATTTTTGGATGTATACCAATTCTAACACAGTAAGGGTTTGTTTTACTCGCTGAGGCGTCGTATAATTACCCACAGAGTGACACAATCTAACGTTATGCTCATTTAGTTACATTTGGTGTCCTGTGTGTTTTTACATACTAACTACTATAGTGCCTTTTCCCGAACTAATCCAAAACCCCCACTAATCTGCTAGTACACTTGAATGTAAATCACATATGGACATTTACCACGACTTTGTTGACACATACAAAATAGCATGCTGCTTAGCTTGCTAGCAGTAACTATCGCCAGTCACTCACCCGGCATTATCTTTTTCGATGTCTTTATGGAGCAACTTCATGGTCGGATTGTTGTATAATATAAACAAGAGTGTTATTAGCGTAAAGTAGAGAGGTTAACGTTTGTCCGAGTGAGAGTCATGTTTATCTGACAGTGAATTAGCAAACTAGCTACTTCAGAATGAATCAGTCGGTGCGTGTTGCCAGGCGCTAGGACATTACGTCATGCCAACGTACGTCGACAACTCTTCCCATCTTGGTCACTTCCGTGGGTGTCGCTTTACTGCGCAACAAATACAGAGCGTTATAAACACGAAAATTTGAGTAATTGCTGTTCAAACACGGCCTCTCTTGCATTGTTTGATAAAATCTTCCACTTAAGGTCAGCAAAACGTAAGATATACACGAGAATGATTGCCCTTTTAACATTGTGGTTGGAGATAAGTAAATGCTGACCGACGTTGAAAACAGCCAATCCCAGAGAATAATAGCTCTCCAAACACCGCCCACTGGAAAAACTGACCAATGGGAGCGCGGAGATTGTCACTCTCTCTTCCGTCCAACCTCGCTTTGAGCTAACGCTTGCCTAGCCTTTTTTGTCGATGGCATGGTGCTAGTGGCTACGGCAGAAACACCGTTGTCACGAGAAAATAAGAATTTTTAAAGTGAATTCGGATAGCTAATGGAAAATAGTTGATTAAGGTGGATTTCTGTAGTAGATGACAGCCATCACATCTTTAACAGTTCAGCACCCAGCCTCACATTTTGAGGTTGCCAGTTCTGCTCCAAGGTTGGCTAGCTAGCGGGCTAACGATAGCCGATTAACGCTTAACTAGTTGAGCTAACGACAACTCGGAATCTATTTAACAGTTACAACGTCTTGAATTCCTTGGGGTTATTAGGAAACGACCAAAATTAGAGTAATAGCATGGCAGAAGCCGATAAGTTGAACATCGACTCCATTATACAACGTCTGCTGGAAGGTAAGGCTTTCGCTCGATATTTATTCACCGAGGTAGCCATTTTAGCTAACAGAGGCTAGACAACGATAACCACTTATGCTACGTTAGCCAGTTAACTTCACTTAAGTTAGTGCTTCTTGCTAACTGAACACTGGACTTGAATTGTGCAGGTTGACCGTCAGTCATGTCTGGTCACTAGCATCCTCGCAGCAAATTAACATTTGTTGTTCCTACTCGCCCGCATTGAAACCTAGTAAAGGTTTTATGTGTATGCTTTAACGTTACTCTGCTAGAGAAAGTATCTACACAATGTAAAGTTAAATCGTTGTGTAAATTCGTTGCTCGCAATGAAGCTTTGTTTTACTTCCTTGGTAACTTGATGCATTTGGGCAGTATGGTCAGAATATGAAAAGTACACTGAACTGGAAATTGAAATATAGCTTAAATGTATTATTGTGTGTCACCAGATGGCATTCTTTAAAGATCCATAGTAGTAATGTAGTATTTTTTGCTTGGTATTTGCTAGTTATATTTGTAGGGCGTGCTTTGAGATGTAATTTTGAAAATGCCCCATATCCAAGTAAAAACACCCTGGATGGTCTCATATTGTCAAAAAATACAATTTGCACTGTTAATGGGACAAAACTGTGGATTTGTCTCTAAATATCTCTGATCTAGAGTCTGTCTGTTTTCTGTTCTTGGGTAGAATTTAGGGATGTAGTAGAATTCTTATTGCTAAAAAGTGTACATTTTAAATTTCTGACATTTGGTTGTAGATGAGTACTCGGCATTTAGATTTTCAGTGTAAAAATGTCCACTGTACAGATTCATGTTTTTTGTTACACGTTTCAATCTTTTAATAACATTTTATATAATCCAGGAAGGTTCTGATTGTGGTAGTCATGACTGAATACTAAACGCAGAGCACTCTATATACTAAAATGTGCCAACTGTCCATGGCAGTCTGCCCTTTTTCGCTCTGAACATGTTTGTTGTGTTTTCCACAAAATACTGCTATATTTTTAACATCTATTTTTGCACACTATTTTTTAAAAGCTTGGTTCTGTATAACAAATGACTATGAATAATAAACTCTGCTGTGTTTTATGATCTTTTGTTCCCAGTGCGCTATTTCTCACTCTTCCGTTTTCCCTCACAGTGAAAGGCTCCAGACCTGGCAAAAATGTTCAGCTGACAGAGAATGAAATCCGTGGCCTCTGCCTCAAATCCCGGGAGATCTTCCTCAGCCAGCCAATCCTGCTCGAACTTGAGGCACCCCTCAAGATTTGTGGTGAGGCTTAGTTGTGTTTCTTTGGAGCTGAGGGAATTCTTAAGTGTGGTCGCATAGCATTTACAAACACACTTAGAGAGCTGTTGTAGCTTATAGTGCTTGACTCTTAGGAGAAAGCTTACATTCACATTGTACAGGGCATGGCTGTGACCTTGCCATGTAATTACAGGCCTATAGGGATAAAGTGATAATATTGGCCTGCCAGTGCAGTGCTGTTTTGCTCTTCAAGTCTCCCAGGAGTTGACCCCCTGTGTCATACTGCTGATGCCACTTAATGAAGAGTGCTAGTTTAAAAGAACCGTCTCCACATTTCAGGAACTAGCCACGTTGGTGCTGCAGTGAGCATCATCTGCATCCTCACACTAAATCTTTTTATCTCATTATTAGGGCTGAACGATTTGGGGGGAAAAAATCTAATTGCGATTTTTCTGCCAGATATTGTGATTACAATTCGAATTGTGATATTTATTTATTTTTATTTTTTAGAAGTTTCGCTAAAGTTTGATATTCACTGCCAGTCTATTTTTGACAGAAGCTGCGTCAAGCAGCACAGAGCAGATGAACCAGGCAGGTAGTCGGACACAGAATGGCATAGAGATCCCGGTTGATTTTCAAAATAAAACACCCTTTGCAGACTCCAGATCATACTTCAACAATAAACACAGTTAAAACAAACAAAAAAGAACTAACTACATAACCTACTTAACCATAGTAGAAGCACAAAAATCAAGGACAACTGAACAAATAAGCAAAATCTGTACAAGTCAGCAAAATCAGCAAAACGCTCTTATTCTGAAATGCTCCATGTGGATGCCTGCAGAGAGCGGAGTGGAATGGGCTCATAGAGAGCTGTTATCAGTAGTTGAAGCACACAAATTAACAACAACTCAACAACGTGTAGGCTAAACGATCTGCTGCTGAAACACTTCAGTGTGGGTTGACCCTGGGCAAAACCGCGGCATAGCCGCTGCCTGTGGGATGATGGCGCCACTATTTCCTCTAGTTTTGTTTGTTGTTTGTAAAATGTACAGGCCCTGTGCCCACTCTGGTGAGTAAGACCATAACAGGAGGCGCATGGCGCTTGTGATTGGCGAGCATCTGTCACACAAGGATGACAATGGAATGAATTTGTAATTGCATGACTGTTTAAAACGGGTCAGATGTGCTGTATAATTATCCTAGATTGTAATCGCCGTCTTCATGATTAGCTAATCGCGTTCTTTTAAATTGCACTTTTGATTTGAAAACAACTAATCGTTCAGCCCTACTCATTATCACAAAACACAAGTGAAGCCACACCTAAATAAAGGTGCATTCATTTAAAATAATTCATGGACAATCATGGTGTGAAATGTTGTTAATTTGCAGGCTGCTAAGTGTTGTTGTACCTTTCTATCAAAGTGCCTTTTGTTGTGCGCATACAGGCAGTGTGGTCACACGTTTGGTCACACCACACACATTTGACCAACATTGCTGTTTCTACTCTAATACCGCTTGTCTCACCAGGGGATGTCCATGGGCAGTACTATGATCTGCTGAGGCTGTTTGAATATGGGGGCTTTCCACCGGAGAGCAACTACCTGTTCCTGGGGGACTATGTAGACAGAGGCAAGCAGTCCCTGGAGACCATCTGCCTGTTGCTGGCTTACAAGATCAAATACCCAGAAAACTTCTTTCTGCTGAGAGGAAACCATGAGTGCGCCTCCATTAACAGAATATATGGCTTCTACGATGAGTGTAAGTCGTATGGTATGCGTACAGATACAGACTGACATTAATCTTTGCACTCCTATTTACGCTTCCCACAGTTTGCTAAAAATGTAAGCCTATGTCTGTAGGCTTTGCATAGTCTAGGTAATACAGTCAGTGATATTCATTTAGATTTTTCAAATGTCAAAACATGGAGAAAAAAAGAAATGAGCAGCTTAATGAGTGTACAAAAAGTTATGTCTGTACATTACAGTACAAGATTGTAGTTATATTAATGTATTTTTTATCTTGAAAAAGTAATGATTGTTTTTCTCATAATGGTCTTTGTGATGGGTCTATTTTTTGGAGTAAAGACAAACACTAACCATCTATAATTCTATCTAGATCTAAAGATAAATAAAATGTTCGCAAACAAAGTTATTGTTGAGCAAATATTTACCAGCATTACTTAAATATCCTTCCCTGTGTGCATCAGCTGTCACTGTTACAGTTTGTTGGGATTGTATTGGCAACAAAAATGTGTGAGTCTACAAATGCAAAAAGCAATAGTACACCAGGCTTTGGGCTAAGGAGCGTGATCAGGCAGGAGTGATTAATCACATGCCTTTCTCTGCTATTCAGAGCCTGGATTATGTAAAATGGCGTGTTTGTAACGTGATGCAACAGGTGCAGCTATTTAGATTTTTATTGATCTCAAGATTAGATTGTGATCAAGTAATTGTGGTTTCCTCCCACAGGTAAGAGGCGATACAACATAAAGCTGTGGAAGACCTTCACTGACTGCTTCAACTGTTTGCCTGTTGCAGCCATTGTTGATGAGAAGATCTTCTGTTGCCATGGAGGTATCCTCATCAAACAGTTCCTTTGGCTTCTGTCCAGAGTACACACAACCACACAAACACACCTTTGCACAACATTATGATCGAAGACCTGCGGGACTGTGGGATCTTAATTTGTTTTGAGTATATGTATGAAGCCTTGCCCTGTTCAACTGCCAGAGCTATAGAGCACTTGTGCTTATGACTGACACGCTGGACTAAATGTGTACCAAGTTACCACAGGCAGTGCATTCTGTGCAATACAGTTAATGGTTTCTTATCATGCAGGATTTAACATAGTTTATATTTCTCACATTAAGATATGGGAGCTGGTTTTGGAATTCAACTTCAAGGAAATGCCGCAGTCAATCACTAACAAAATGCTCAGCTCAGAAAGAAGCTAAATTAAAGGCGCAGATCTCTGCAGCATGCTTGACAATTCTGACTAGTTTTGCAGCAGTTGTGATACAGAAAACGGAACAATAAAATTGACATAAGGGTTCAGACAATGTGACACCAACAGTCACAGCTATCTCATGTCTGCAAGACCCACTACACACAATATGTGAACAGGCACTGATAATCAGAATAAACACCACCTCTCTCTTCGAACGTATGAAGTTACGTAAGGCAGAACACACAGAAAGGATATGGTATGTTTGCTAGTGTTTATCTGTTGAGCACAGCAGTTAAAGCCCTAATCCATAATTTTTGATCCCATAAATGTTAAGCATACATACAATTAAAAGTTGAATGAGTAGATGAAAAATCTGCATTTTTTTGTCATGATTTATAAAGCTCCAACTAAGAATGATTATTATTGTTGATTAATCTGCAGATTATATTTTTGATTAATTGTTTACTCTATAAAATACTGAAATGTCCATCCCCGAAAGAAATACTTTGTCCAACCCAACAATCCAAAACCCAGAGATGATCAGTTTACAGTCTTCCTTTGAGAAGCTGTAAATAGGGAATGTTTGGTCTAAACCGACTCAAACTAATTAAAAAAGCAGCAATATAGTTTTAGCTTTATAAATTAATGCACAGGCCTGATTTCCTTCTGTGTTTATAAACATTACTGATTGTGAACAAGCGCCACAGTAAAACTAAATAATGTACTTTCACCTGTCAATCAGAATTGAGGTTTCGATTGCAGGTCTGATTATATGAGAATGTATTTGACATGCGTGTAAATTGATATTGAACCTTGCACATTGTGCTAACATGGATACTCCTTGGTTGTCATACCTCAGATCCTCTGAAATCCGCTCTTTTTGCCTGGTTTAGGATTTTCCATCTAAAACCACAAACGTACTATATGTGTAAAATCACAGATGCTAATTTCAACTTTTCCTGCCATCTAACATGTAACTGTTATACACTGAACATCTCCAGGCCTATCCCCAGACCTCCAGTCTATGGAGCAGGTGCGAAGGGTCATGCGCCCCACTGATGTGCCTGACCAGGGCCTCCTCTGCGACCTGCTGTGGGCTGACCCGGACAAGGATGTGCTGGGCTGGGGTGAGAACGACCGCGGCGTCTCCTTCACTTTTGGCGCAGACGTGGTCACCAAGTTCCTCCACAAACACGATATGGACCTCATTTGTCGGGCCCATCAGGTCAGTGCACTACCCTGATCCTAAGGTTAAAGATGCTTTTGCAGTAGGAATGAAAGGCAATAAATGAAACAAGTAACTAAATTAAACAGTAAGCCACCTCTCTGCTCTAGTTCTGGTTAAACTGTTAAGAGTTGGTTATGGATCTTGTAATGGGATGAAAGGAGAGTGTCTGTATGTACTTAGAGCAGTTTTCAGTATTTCCCACGGAATGATAGCACATTGATCAAACAAGTTTGTTCAGTGAATGTTTGAGGAAAAGTCAGGTGGAACTGCTGAAATACTTGGATAGCTCTTGTCCACTTCAGCAAAGGTCGATTTCAGCCCAGTTTTAACCAGGTAGGCAGTTCGAGCAACAGCAATGTATTTATCATGTATTTTCTTGTTGTGTAAGCCCTTTGTTAATATAAAATTCTCTGAATCTGGTTCTGTTTTTTGTGTCTGATTCATTGTGTACAGGTGAGAAGCAATTGTCTGAAATTCCTCTAAGTTGTCAAACTGCCATTTATCTGTTTGCAGGTGGTTGAGGACGGATATGAGTTCTTTGCAAAGAGGCAGCTAGTGACGCTGTTCTCAGCCCCAAACTACTGCGGTGAGTTCGACAATGCCGGAGCCATGATGAGCGTAGACGAGACCCTCATGTGCTCATTCCAGGTAAGCAAGAGACCAACCAGAAAATTCAGATTAAACTGTTTACATATTCAAAAAAAAAAAAAACTAAAACGTTTTTGTTATTTATTTATTTTTGCTTAGTTTTGTCGGCTTTGTCTCCCTTTCACAGATTCTCAAGCCTGCAGACAAGAAGCTGTTCTATGGAGGTGGAGGGGGCATGGGCTCTGGTCGCCCAGTCACTCCCCCTAGGAAAGCCAAGAAATGACACCAGTAGTTTGCCCTTGACCTCCAACCCACCCTTCCTGCCCTCTCTACCTCTCTTCTCCTTTCTTTCACCAAACAGCCAGAAATCAAACCTATACCCAGGGCTTTTTTTCCTTTTTTATCTGTACTTCTTAAAAACATTTAATGTTACGAATTGTCTGAGTGAGTGCGTGTGCGTGCGCAGGCGACGAACACGTCTCGTCTGCCGGTGAGCATTAAAATCATGTGTGCACGTGTACATTTTGTGTGAGAGTATTAGAGATTTATACTTTCCCCTCTCTCTTACCACTCTTCCCTTGGAAAGGTTGAAACCACAGTGTCTGTCTGTACAGTAATTTTGACTTAAATGCAGGGTTTGGGAGACAGAGGGAGATTGCTGACATAATGAATTTAGCAGCAAAGCCCTGCCAGCAGGTGATGTGTGTGTACTTGTAGAGGGGGGGAAGTATTTTGTTTTCCCTGTCCTCTGTACTGTAAAATCTCAAAAACAGGTGTGTGCGTGCGTGTGTGTCTGCGTGTGTACATGCGGTGTCTTCCCCATCTGAGTGACGTCGCAGTATCCGGAAAAAAACAGGAAGTATGTCACCATGAGCAGTCGCATGCTTACCCACACAGACACACACACACATGCGTATGACTCTTCGTCTCAGATTCATATGAGCCAGAGCTGTAAAAACCCCATACAGTTTAGGTTTGTACAGATTTGATTACTTGAAAGAGATTTTTTGTGAATTCGTTTTGTAGTCTTTCATCAAGTTGACCAATAAAGCGAGAATCTGAACTACAATGTCGACCAGTCATTTTTATTGTAAGCTTGTTTCTGATATATAATATAGACATGGAATTTAGAAATAGCCCTTTATATATCTGGTAAACAGTGCTTCACAGTACTTAAAGCACCAGTAGTATGGAGACCCAAAGTCTAAACATAAAATGGAAAAATAACATTACAAAATATGTAATCATTGAGTTTTAAGAATGAATAGGATTAAATTGGATAAGCTATAATGTTTTCATCCTGCATCTTTATACAGTGACAATTTATTGCAGGTTGATTATGCTCTCATCAAAATTATTGGCAATTCTGTCGATTTAAGTAATCAATCGACTGGTCATTTCAGCTGTAAATGTTTTTCACAATTTTATGGTTGCATATTTTGTCCATATTTGTTCATATGATTATTACTTTAATAGGGTTTATTTAATATTGAATGCTTTGCACCTCCATGAAATGTATTAACTTGAACGCAGATATTTTACAAACAATCTAAAATGTTTTTTTAATGTACTACGTGCTTGGATAAAAAAAAATTTTTATTTGAGTCTGATTAGTTCATTTAGTGGGATAAGTTAATTTTACAAAGTTCTTCGTTAGTGGCTAATTGCTCACTCCCAATAAAACCGTAAGAAACTGACTGAATTTCTAATTTGACCAAGACTCCAACTACAGATTGGTCAAGTAAAATACTTAGGGAGGCTGTTCTATCATGTGCAGGGGGTAATTAAGCCTGAACTGAATCAAAACTACTCAAATGATAGATCGGTTCAGCTGTGATCCACAGGGAGGTGCTGTTGAGCTCTTTTGATTCCTCTGGTCAAAAGATCACACAACAGAGAAAGAAACACTGTAGCTGAAACTGAGCGTTGGTTTGCATAATGCCCATTGGTTTTCCCAAGGAAAGGAAAGATTTACATTTAATAAGTGCTGGCTGTATGCATACAAGTAACTGTGGTGGTCTACTTTGGCAGTAGTTGCAACATTTTGTATAACATGTTAGATCCTAATGCCATCAGTTAGTTGGTATCGATTTAAATAAAATGTTTTTAATAAGAGTAGTAATCACCTTTTCTTGCTATGCTGTGGCCTTGATGAAGACTCAGTACCTCTCTTTTACATTCCTCATTCTATTTTTATCAAAAAGGATCCCATTTCTTCCTTAGGCATTTCTCTGGCTCTTTTTTGGCATTCATTCATCTTCCTGTCATCAACACCCTGTCTTCAAGGCGCTCTGTCCATCATTTTCCCTCCTTTTACAGGGCTAAAGAGGTGAAAGGTGAAGGGCAGAGCTGGCTGAGGGGGTTGGGTTTGGAGGTTTTTAAAAATGGAAATAAATTTTCTGTAATTCTGCCCTGTAGTTTGATATGAATAATGTTGTTTCAGCCTTTCAAAAGACCAGTAAGGTGAAAGGTGAGGGCTGTACTTATAGTATGTTTTGTCAGAAACACATTTAAGAATTCAGAATGAAAGAAATTGTTTATTTCTTAATAACCTGATGCAGAAACAATTACTTTTTCTGAAGACTAGAAGATGTTTATGATGATGATGATGAAATATGTAGGCTGAAGCTGCACTGCTTCTGACAGAAACCACATTTTCACTGCTCTGATATCTGTTCGCTACTGGGAGCCTCAGCCTTTCTCATTCTCCTCCATGCATTTATAGCAGAACGATTTGAGGACTGAAGTCACACTTGGTTGTCACAATTTGTCACTGGCTATGTGATTTTTACTGCGCCATTTCCATAGGATAAAGTTTCTACATTTTGTGTTGGTCGGTGAGTCTTGAGGACCTTGTTTCTGATGTGCTCACGTTTACTGGATTCAATACTGTTATAAAAGGGTGAAAATCAAACTTTGGTTCACATTATATGGAGTTCAGTCCATTTTTGTGGCTGTTACATACTCATCAGTCATGGCTATCAACCCAAAAAGAATGTCCTGGTTAGGTAAGAGTACTCAAGACATTGAAGATGTAGCATATCACCAAGAGTTCATCCTTCAGATGATATCAAATACTGTACAGATTACTTCTTAAAGCTATGCTGGCCTGAAATACTATGCTGTGTAATTTATGACTGCTATTATGAAACTCCAGAAGGATTTTGTTCATGTGCAGACATGCCAGAAAGAAACCTGTGCAGCCGGCCTTTTGGAAACATAATTTCCCATGTTCCACAGTGTGAACATAAAAGCATGTTTTCATTTATGAAAAATAATCCCCTTAATAGATGAAATTGTGCCAGTAAATGTGTCGTTAGGCTGACAGTATGGTCCAAAGTGCTTTTGGAGTGAGAAAAATGCACTCTTTCATCAAAAAATTGCACTCAAATGAAATTATTTTTATCTTCTAAAAAACAAGGACTCAAGTAGAAGTAAAATTAGTCATCAAAATAATTATTTGTGTGAGCGTACAAAAGTATCTACCTAAAAAAAAAACATACTTCAACTTCAACATAATTTAAAAACAAATTATAAATAGATGTAGCACAGTGAGTGTAAACACATGCAACTAAGTGAGAGTACAGATTTTCATTTCAAAATGTATTTGAATAAGAGTGCATTAAAATTACTTAAACAAGTAGCCTACAGTTTACTCAAAAAGGTAGGCTACATGTAACAAAGTAAATGCAAGTCATTACTGCACACCTCTGTTGTTGATACTATAGTGGATGAAACTTCTCTGCAACTTGAAAATAGAATTAGCTTTTATGTAAATAGTGTATTGTGAATGCCTCTTAAAATGGACTTTACATTGATTGACTCGAAGCAGCTGTAAGTCAAGTCTGAATTGATCTCAGCCTCTCAAACTAACAAGATGCTTTGCTTGATTCTT